GAATAAACAATAAAGAATCAGATGAATTAACCTTAGAGAATGGAATCCCACAGGGTCGCGTGATATTTCCTACCTTGTTCAACATATGTAAAAAAAAAACAAATAAAAAAAACTCATCCACCATAAGTCTACATGAGGAAACCTGTGAAATACCATTAAATCTTAGGAGAGAGAAATCAATAACAAAATACTGAGCTAGAATTCAAGCTCTAGAACCTGAATTTCCACCTAATGTTACAGTAGAACATTCATTTCATTTCAGAATATTTTATTGATTTATAGAATTAAACAGCAGGCTAGAGCCTAAATAAGTCTTCTCTCAAGACAACATGATGGTCAGACATAAACATGATACACTATAAACATACATACATACATACATACATACATACATACATACATTACACACGTACAAGCCTTACATTACATACATACAGTCAGTCATAAATTTAGTGTTGACAGACTAATCAATTCTAAATTATGGAAGACTATGACTATAAGAAGATAATTAACAATCCACCAGCTTTTCAGTTTACTATGTCTTATGATATTAAATGTGCATTACATGTACTTTCTCTCCCATATAAAAGGGGTTTGGGACAGAATGTCCATGATATAAAAGTTAGCCCTCTCCCACTTCAGTAAGGGAGCAAGTACACATAAAACACATTTTTCTTATATCAAATGATTATTATTCTAAATAAAAATAATATTCAGACCAATATAAAGAACTGATCAGAGTTGTTTCCTTATTATTAGATGATAACTGAAATATTGGAAATAATGTTATAGTAGAACTTTAAATATAGAGATAAACTAAAATAACATATTAAAACACCATACAACCATATAGCAAACCAGCTTCTCGTCGAACGCAATTTAGACCAAGTTAGAATTGAAGAACTTTTCTCTTACTCCGGACATGGATATCCACAGTTTTCACCGGTGTGAGATTTTTCTATCTCACCCTAGGTTTGAGACATGCTACACGCGCTCCTTGCGCGTTCTCAACAATAATGTGACGTCACTATCTTGAAAAGTTAACGCATATGATAGTTATCAATAATCATAAAATATATCTTGAAAGTGTTCATCCAAAAGTTGTTCAAAGTGTCTAACTGAATTTGCATTAACAATATGAACGGGAAGATTATTCCAAGTGTCTACAACTCTAAAGGTAAAATAGTTTCTCCTAAGTTCCGTGTTACAACATTTAAAATTTTTGAAATTATGCCCGCGAGTTCTCTCATTATTATCAAAAGTGAATAACTTTGATGCGACTCTTCCATCAAATATATTGTGAGCTATTTTGAATATACTAATTAAATCTCCTCTCATCTTGCGATACTTTAATGTAGGAAGTTTCAATCTCCGGAGTCTTTCGTTATATGGAAGGTTCTTCATTCCTGGAAGGAGCTTGATGGCTCTTCGTTGGACGTTTTCAATCATTTGAACATCTTTAAATTTGTAGGGGTTCCATGCGCAAGCTCCATACTCTAAATGTGGTCTTACTAATGCTGTGAATAGTTGTTTGAAGATTCGTCCATATAAGTAAACGATCTTGTGATGATACCTAAAATCGAGTTAGCTTTGTTTATCGAGTTCTGCATGTGTGGCCGAAAATCCAATTTATGATCAACTGATAATCCCAGATCTTTTTCAATTTCCGTTTTCTCAAGAGTAATTAAGCTGCCATTAGAACTCTGTGGGTAATAATTCCGTTCCTCTAGTCCTGTTCTTCTGATATACAGTGCCTTACATTTGTTCGGGTGGAATTTCAGCAACCAGTCTTCTGACCACTTTTGGAGACTATCGAGATCTGCTTGCAGAATACTTGTATCTTCTTGACTTTTGATATTGCGATACAATTTTGTGTCATCAGCAAAATGTGGACAGGGTGAAATGGTATTATCCGGCATATCATTTATGTATATAACAAATAGAATTGGTCCTAGTACGCTACCTTGAGGAATTCCACTTAGTACATCATGGGATTTCGACGATGAACCATTTATTACTACTCTTTGGTGTCTGTTGCTTAAGAAATTTTCGATCCATTTTACTGTTTTAAATCCAATTCCATATTTATAAAGTTTGTGAATGAGTCGGCGTTGTGGTACTTTATCAAACGCTTTCATAAAGTCCATATAAATAACATCCACCTGCTCCCCTTTATCCGATATACTTGTCCATTCATCCAGAACTAGCAGCATCTGAAGAGTTGTAGATCTACCTGGCAGAAAACCGAATTGCTTGTCGCTAAATAAGCCGTTTACTTGCATATGATTTACAATTTTATCGCGAATAAGTTTTTTCCATTATTTTGACAACGATACTCGTTAAACTTACAGGGCGATAATTCCCAGGCTCACAATTAGCTCCCTTTTTGTATATAGCTGTAATATTAGCTTCCTTCCAAATTTGTGACAATCTGCCTTCATTCAGAGATTTATTGAAAAGTAGCGTTAGTGGTTAACTCAGGACATTACGAAGTTCTTTGAGTGCTTTGGGGTGCATATCATTAGGCCCGCACGATTTATTAACATCTAGCTCTGATATATACTTCTTAACTTTCTCTTCGTTAAAATTTGTTTCCTCAGAAGGCCAATGAACTACTATATCTGGGAATATAGGTTTTTCGCCTGGCGGTTCCTCAGTAAAAACACTCGTGAAGAAATTTACCAGGACTTCCGCTTTTTCTTCATCGCTTGTAGCTATTCGTGTTTGTACGTTTCTCGTTTATGTACTTCCAAAAACGTTTTGGTTGCTGTTTGATGTTTTTTGCGATATCTTTTTCAATACATTTTCCAACTTTCCTAATTTCCCATTTAACTTGATTTCTATATCTAGAATATTCCTGATACATTTGTAGTGATTTTGTTTCCAAAAATCGTGTCCACGCCCTATGTTTCTTATTAATTTTCTTTATAACATCTTTACTTAGTGGAACTTTTCTTTTTTCTCGAAAATGATTTCCTTTTTTCGGTATAAATTTAACTGTTGTTTTAAAAATATTCGTAAAAGTGTTATACGATTCCTCGATTTCCTTATCCAGAAGAATGTTCCAATTAATCTTTCCTAATTCCTTTTCCATGTCCGGATATTTCCCTTTATGATAGTTATAACCTCTGTTGATTTTGACGTAATGTTTGCTCCGGAATGCGTATTTAAAAGTTATAACTACACGGTCGCTGTTTCCGATAGGGCTGTTGTACTCAATATCCGTTACCATCTCCTCTTCATTACTCAGAATTAAGTCTAGAATATTCGACTCGTTTCCTGCTCTCAATCGCGTGTTTTCTGTGACATGTTCATATGAGTAATTATCTCTGAGAAGTTCAATGAAACAATCACATTGGGTGTCGCCATTGGATATACAGGTATTCCAGTTAATTTTTGGGAAGTTAAAGTCTCCAAATATAAGCAAATGAGAATATTTTTTGTTCGACGTGATGCTGTTAATGAGTTTAAACATTTCTTCGTTATTCTCCTTATCGGAATTTGGACTCCTGTATACACAGCCGATCTAAGTTTTATCGCTTCCATCTGAGTTAATTGTAGCCCATATACTCTCCTTAAAATTAGTTTCTATACTTACTTCAACAGGACAGAGATCCTCTTTTATATAAATACCTACACCTCGATGACGATTAGGATAATTTTCGTTTACAAAAAGTTGATATCCCGGTATTTGAAATTCAGCTTTGTTATGTAAATAACGGAAGTTCTTAGGGTAGAATTCAGTGATTCCTATTAGATCGGTATCTAAGCTTTTCGTTCCATCACGGATCCTCGTTTTCAATTCATCAAGTTTGTTAAAGAGACTATCAGCGTTTGTATAAAAGCAGTTTAAATTTTCGCTTGCTTGTTTTCCGGAGTTTTCATTTTGATCCTCACAATTTTCCTGTTCCACAGTGGACCTTTTATTCGATGCAAGAAACCCCCCCCCCCCCGATTCTTCATTATTACGTTTCTTGGCTTCTTCTCGTAAAGAGGCTTCTTCTAGTCTCTCGAAATTTTGTGAGATCATTGTTAATTCTGACATTCTCAAACCTTTTGTTGCTCTGGATATTCGAGATAATTTTGAATGAATGCTTCTTGTCTTCCAGACTTCCAAAAGAAACTAGTATTGGCCTATTTTTATCGTTCTGTGGTTTACCAAGTCTGACAATTTTCGCTATTCTAGTTAGTGCTTTGTTGGTTGCCTTGCATGTTTTAAGCATTTCAGTTATAGCCTCGTTGTCCTTTTTATATCTCTCCTCGGAATTACCATTATTTTCCTCCTCGCCAAAAACTATTATGTTATTTTCTCTCCTCTTTTTGTCCTGTATTTCCTGTAATACAGCAGCGGTTATTTCTTGGTTGCTATGAGCATGAGTCTGTACGGCAGGGTTAAAGCTTGCCAGTTCCTCCTGTACAATATGCCTCACATCGTCCGCGCTATATTTTGCTTTCAGTTCCGCTAAACTGGTTTCTAAATTCCTGATCCTCTCTTCATAGCCTGCCATGATCTCCGCGCATTTCTTCTCCACTATTTTTCCGTTTGGAAGTTCTTCTCAACGGAAACTTTACACGGGGCGCAGAACCACATAGAGTCGCATCGTTTCAGGAACTCGTATTCCTTCTCTCCCTTTCCGAGACAAGCGATGCAGAAGTGTTTCTGACACCGGTCGCACTCTATTATCTTGGTGTTGGGGTTCCCATCGTTCTTGTTACACATCTCACAGGTCCGTAGTTCAGTCAAGAAAGGGTTTGACTGCTTGGTTGAACTCCCTGTACGTCCCCGAAAACGAGAGGTCATTGGTTCGATATCGATCGTTTTGTTGGCTTTGTTAACGTTGCTACCTTGGCCATTTCCGGTAGGCATGACGAGGAAAAACGGTCGTTGCTGTAATCCCAGCGGAAAAGTAGGTACAAGCAGCGCCAACTTTTGTGGCGCTTACCCTAAACTTACTCATTGACACTTATCACAGTTGTCTGCTATCGTAAACTATGGTAATATGACTAAAAACGCTCTGGCTTACCGGAGCGGTAAACAATGGTGGCCGTTGCCATTGATGACGTCATTGTAAAATAACGATTTAATAATATGTGTTGATTTTGTGTAAAAATTGAAGTCATCTCATCCATACTTTCACATTAAAATCGTTTTTTATCATTAATATTATGATTTAATTATACCTATTTTCGTCAACATAAATATGCCCCAGATTGTATCCACCACTATGTTCGGCATAAATCAAATTTAGTTGAGTCCACTTGGTTCAATGGAACCAAACTGATCATACAGTCGGATTTGAGTCTGACTTGGCCAATGGCATATGTAATCTCTAAATGCATGTAGGACAAACTGATTCTCACTCGTTCAAAAACTCAAATCTATCCTAGATAATCCCTTCCTATCATACCATCGTTCACTTCAAAGTAACCTATCTTGCCGTTACCTCTCATAACCCTCTCTAAATCAGCACGTTCACACAAATCACATATATAACAAGGACATAGTCTTTAAGATCCCTCACCCAGGTTCATTTGTAGAATATAGATGACATTTAAAGTGAGCAACATAGAGAACTGAAGTATTGAAACCATTTATAATCAATGTACAGCTTGAAGTTCCATTGCAAGTGATCAATATAATAACAATTTAGTAGTATAATACTGTGAATATTAAAATCAGCTTATCATACATTTATATTTCCTTCTTTTATCAAGTGATAATGACAGAATATTTGTCTCAACAAAATTCCTTTGTTACTTCAAAAGATAACATGCGGAAAGCATTCAGTAAGGGTGCTGAAAGATATCAGTTAATCAGGTCACAGCAGCTTCATTAAATATGAACAGAATTTCCCGATAATCGAACTTGAACAAGGGCTTGAGGTAACAAGTCTACCAAACAATTTTCTTTAAAATCTTATCATTAGTTCATAAGATAATGTGCAGAAAGATTTCTCAAAGAGTGATTAACGAAATCAGCCAAACGGGTCTCGGCAGCCTCATTAATATTGAATTCGCTCTCCTAATCGAACTTGGGGACGGAATTAAGGTAACAAGTGTATAACAAGTGTACCAACCAAGTTTCATCACAATCCGATCTGACCTTCAAAAGATATTATGCGAAAAGCAGCATCCGGACGTATGGAAGGACGGGCGGACGAAACCCATTTTAATATCCCCGCCAACTTTCAAACAAAAAAAATGTTTATTACAATTACAAATGTACTGATCCAAGCACTATTTTCTAACCATAGTTCGGTGGATGGGACTACTTTAAACAGTGGTCCGTGTGAGGAATATCCGCTCTTACACGCTGAGGTCCCTCTGTGGCTTTTCGAAAAACGAGTAAGCGTGATTAGGCCGGTCCAGGGGTTTCGGGATAATGTATACTATACAATTATTGAAAGGCATTTTCGACGGACTTAAAAATGACCGTAACGCACACCAAATCTAAGTAGGCCCCCAATTCTTCCTTTCAGCTTCAGGACATGTTTAAACTGTAAGAGTTAGAATAAGGCATTATTAGGCCCTATAAACGCAGCACTGATCGGTTAATCTGAGTGATAATGCGATGTTGTTTTCTCCTGGATAAATACCTGATCCTATTCTGTTCGTTTGTGGATTTTTTTATCCGTCTGTATAATATTTGGTATAATTATTATATCTCTAGTCAATTATATGGATAATGCAGTTGCCCTAGTTTCTGCCGGATTTACCTTTTTGTTGGTTTTGTCTCCCATATACAAAATGGCCACAGTGATTAACTTTTAACGAAGCCGAAAATGACAACTTTTGCGACTTCCCTTCTTGTAATATTCCCACCAACTATCAGCTCAATGGAATGGCACCTGCCGATCTTAAAAAGAAGTTTGTATTTTTTCAAGATGGCGGTCATCGCAGCCATATTTGATTTCGGATCGATCTGAAAAATAACCAGGGTTGGTCAGGACAATCTCAGAATCGTTTCAGGTAAGTTTCAACTGGTGGAACTAGAGAAGAATTTAAAATGTAAAGTTTAAGTACAGCGCACGACGGCGGAAATACGATTGTTATAGATCAACATGATGACCAGATAATCTAACAAAAGGGTGATACTTACTATTGATGGAATTGAACTGGTAGATATGTAAGATCTTCACGTACCTGAAGACCTAGTTGACTTTTTTATCGGTTCGGAACAACTTCATTGAGTCCAGACCGATATGACTCTATCCATTAGGGTTTCCCTCTCAGTTCTTGAATTAAAGACGTACTTCTCATGTATCACTTTCCCATCATTAGAAAGATATATAGCATTACGTTTGCATGAACCAATAGTTTTTAGCGTTTGAAACCTTATACAAAATTAAAACCTGCAAATATTAGTGGATTACCACCTTTTTCGTGTGTGACTGAGAGTTATCTCTCCTAAAAGCACTCTCAATATGGCGACTAGCTCACTGCTTCGTGCTTGCGGAGGTAGATAAATTGATGTTTTGACAATTTTACGTTTTTAAAACAGTCATAATATTACATGATTTTGAATTTTAATATTGAAATTTTGTCTAACGCGAATTGTTGTGAAATGTTATGCTAAGTTATCGATATATTGGATACATATTATGTGTCGTGTCAAGGTCATGCTCCGAAAATCCCGTTTTTATCTAAAAAAAAGTTTGCTTCCAAATTTTGATTGCCATAAATTGTTCTGATTTGTAAACCTGCTTTTTCAATCAGAAGAAGGCTTCATTGGATTAAATTGTCGATTAATCACTGGGCATTTAAATAAGCATCAGTTAGAAACGTTGAACTTACAATCAGATGCAGCTGAGATGAATAATGAAAATATCTACGATACGTTATGTTATTAACTGTTGCATTTGCTTTCAGGAGCGAGACAATTGTTCTTTCGACCTAATGCATTACAAAAAGCATTATCTTGTGAGATTCAGAAAGACATGTCAGCTAAAGTATTTTCAACATCATCTTCATCTTCAAGTCTAGAATATTTCCGTGCAAGAAGAGGTCCATTTACACCAGGTAAGTATTGGATTTTGCCTAGGAAAGTCCTCATGATGATCAGGTGTTTGATATTGGTCTATCGAAAATATAGTGGTATATTGCTGCCTACTTTAGTTTTTGTCAATCAGAAAATTTATATTACATTCATTATCGAGGTGGAGAGAAAAAAACGCAACTGTAACAGCTTAAAAATAGCAAACTATGACATCTCAAAAGGTTATTGAGGGCAAATTAACTCATAATTTTAGGGTACATTGCTAAAATGATTGTTTAATTCCCTGCATCCGTGGTGGATGCGTTTCTACCATTTTAATGAAAACTTGACATAAATTTGATTGAATTATTTATTAAATCATTTTAGAGACAGAAAAATTGCAGTCAAAATTACAAAATATAAATTTAGGTCTCTGAAACAATGTATGATGTTGAAGTTTTTTGAGCTTTAGGTATAAGTAACTGAAACCTCTAATACCAGCCTCCATGACATTTGAATGATATAAAGTATTTGAAACTATAGACGAAAAAGCCCAAATTAAAGTCAGAATAGGTACAATTCAGTGTAAAAACTGAAAATAGATTTTATATTTGAATATTGAAGGATTTTGAAAAAATAAAATCAAAACAGGTATTGGTTGATATTTTTTAAATGAAATTTTCAATATCTAAAATGCTGATTTTTTGTGGAATTTTGAAGTTTTATGCGTTGCACAGACCAAAATATAGTGAATTCGCTTATGCCATAGTGAGATGACTGTTCATCTGGCATCAACTTATCCATGTTAGTGACTTTTTCTCAATAACCAAGAGGCTTTATGTCATGGTAGTTGGTAAGTGCATTGCTGGAATGAAGCCTGACAAAAACTGTGACAAGAAATTACCTTGACTCATATTCAAGGTCACAGGGGTCAGATTTGTTAAAACTTTTAAAGAATTTCTACTATCTAACCAAAAGGCCAGAAGCATGCAACTTGGTTGATACGTTACTAAGATAAAGCCCAACAAAGTTTGCAAAAAGTAATGATATTGACCCATATAAAGGCCACAATGATCAAATTTGTTAAAACATTTTATCAACTTATTCTGATTTATCAAAATGTCTGTATAAGCATATATGGCTCACAGATTCAAAAGATGAAGCCAGACTTTTTTTTCTTTTTTTTTTAAAGAAATGACATTGATCCATATCCAAGGTCACAGGGGTCTACTTTCATAAAACCTTTAAATGACTATTTAAATGACTGATGAACCTCAAAGACCTAAAATCGGAATATTTTGCTGAAAAGTTTATAGAAGCCTGTATATCGTATTTTGAAGTTAATTTAAAACAGCAGTGTGATATGCTGTTTATTTGAGATGTGCATATACATTGTGTATTGAATACCATGTGAGCAATGCAGGCCCATTTGGCCTCTTGTTTCTTAATGTTTTAATAGCTTTTATAATTGTCACATCAAATATTCCTATTCAACAAAGTATGTCCAACAACAAGTGTAAGCTAATGCTGAAAAATTCCAAACTGTTCAGGAAAACACATTGAAAGCTAATTCCCCCTTCTTTCTACAGAGGAGAAGCAGAAGGGACACTCCATGTTGGCTTCAACCCATTGGAAGATAGAGAGAGTGGTGGCAATCTCTATGATACCTGTTCTGCCTGCTTGTATCTACTATGGAGGCCCAGCCTCTGATTTCATCCTAACTACTACTGTTTTAGCTCATGGGCACTGGTAGGTTTCTATTTAAAACCATTACACATTCATTAGATAAATCTACCCAACACAAACTGTAGATCTCATGAAAATCATCACACATTGTTTTTTGCACTGATCAATGAATCAATCATTCAGCAAAATGTCAAATTTAAACAAATGGATTCAGTTGACATTAACTGACAGCCTTGGTAATGATAGAGAACACATTGAATAGGCAACGTTTCTGAAAAAATGGTTGGAAATAAAGTTTTGTTTCAAAATATACTATGACTTGACATATTACTGAAACAAATATGACATATACTCTATGAGTGCAAGGATTTAAATGCTTTTAAGATGGTTTTTGTTTTTGTTTTTATCTTTATGAAACACAAATCAAATGCAGAACGTCTTAGAATTCTATTGGGTCATTTTCTCTTGATTACAAAAATTTATGTAAAGCTTAAACACAGTTTCGTAGTTTGAGGTGATAACTCTGTTGTCATCAAGGTCATGAGATGTCACAATATTATCGTCAATAGTGACAACAATAAATTAGTTGCTATAAACCTACATGATCCTTGTTGTCCTGAATGACAGAAAGCAGGGATCCAAAAGGGACACAAACAAAAGAACATTATTTTGATTTAGTGGATTAAACAATGATGACCACATTTTACTATAGACTTGCCCATAAACTATAGCAGATTATCAATCACTAAGTTTATGTTTTTTTGGGTCCACACCTGGACAACATGTAGGTGGCTTACATGTATACCTAATACACGTCACATTTACATGCTCGCTTATTCATATGGATAATCCATTTGAGGCCCCAACTTTTACTTTTAGAGAGCCAGAAAAAGCTGGAAATTCTTACACAATCATGATTTTCTTGAACAACTCCTATTTTAAACTTCTTCTCCAGTTCCACTAGACTAGTGTGGTTAATCTAAAACTTATCATGAATGATCCTGAGAAGGTGCTGACCAAGAGTTTTTAATTCAGATCCAGGGTCTAAGATGGCTGCCATTTTGAAAAACACTATTTTAACTTTTTTGGCGGTGAGTCCAAAATCCAATAAGGCCACTATGGATATCATCTGTTTAAAAAACATTTTTTTCTGGTTCCTTACCTTAACTTCTAAAATATTGAAAGTTGTTTTAACTATTTCATAATTGTTCATACTAACACTACTGCTGTTAAGTCATTTATAGGTCATTTATACTCAGATGATAAGATCCAAGAGTCATTTGTTCTTAAAATTTTTCCTTGTTTTATTTTCAGGGGCGTTCATGGAGTGCTTGTTGATTACATTGAGAAATTCTTCCCACCTATCCACTACTTCTGGTATGCTGTTATGATCATGGGCTTTGCAGGCATGATGCATTTTAACTACAATGATGTTGGAATCACTAAAGCCATTGCCATGTTTTGGGCCCTGTGATGTCAAGACATAATATATTAGATTTAATCATCTTTATCCATGTTGATAAAGAAATTTACTGCAAAAAGATACTGCAACAAATTAGAAGGGAAAATTCTTTCTTTTAAATATTTTGTACACCATGTCTACTTTGGCAAAATTCTTCGCAACCATTTAGCTCATTTAAGGTTGAAAAGTTTATTTGCTTATTCTTCATGATCTTTACACCTACCTTTGCCAATGTCGGAATATTATTGTGGCACTAGAACGGAATCTGATATTTATTCAAAAATAATTAATGTATTATACTGAGTCTTTTACAGTTTATGAAATGAAGATATCAGATATGGAGATGAACCGTCACATATAATTAGGACTTTAGGGAACAGTTTACCAAGAATAAGATAGTTATGTGTATACAAAAAGGAAGAAACAGTTTTTCGTTCTCATCTTTTTTTGATTATTTATTATTTGCGTACATGCATATTCATTGAATCCTATTTTGGAATTCATTTTTGGTGCATACGTCATGTACAAATGTGATTTGTGCTGCAGGCATACATTGTATATAATAAATGGAATTTTGATATCGAAGTTGTGTTAATTACTGTTTTGCATTAAAACCATCTATATAAGGGCTCTCCGAAATGAATTGATGGATATGGGGAAGAGGCACTTTTTCACAACCCTCATTTTCCAAGATTATTTTCCTAATCCTCATCTACTGATGTCATCATCATCACCATTTATTATTTTGTTATTAGTGACTCAACACATCTCCCAATCCTATATTTCTGGAATAGATTTAAGTATGAGGTAACTGTATCCTGATCAGCTGACATCAAGTAAAGTCAGTGTTGTGGTGATGCTCATGTTGGGGAGTATCCCTTGACTAAAGGAAGTATTGCTTGACTCACCTGCTGGAAAGGCAAGTGAGCTGATCTTGTGGTAGAGGGTCTGTCGAGCAACTTTTTTTCCAATGACCTTTCCTCAAGAGCCATCATGCTTGTTCAAATAAATTATCTTGACCCACTTTCTTGTTAGATGATTCAAAGTGGTTGAAATTTTTCATCTTCAGAACAAGAGTTTTCGCTTGTTAACCATGTTTGACCTGTATCTTTTTTATAGACTGGATAATTTCCCTTCTTTCCAATCCCTTTCACTAGATTCCAACAGGAACAATGCATCATCTTGATAACAGTTTTTAACTTCAAATTGCCATCTCTCATCAATTTTGTTGCCTGATCCATTTAAATATTGATCTGTCATCCACAACTACAGATTGATGGGAATAAAGTTTGAAAAATAACCTTCATTTTGTCAAATCCAAGAGGACTTCATCAGTATTTTTTTTTCAATTAGACTGAACAAGTAAATCTATGAACCAAAGGAACATTGTACATGTATAAAGTGTGAGAAATATCTTTCCAGTACTTTAAGAAATAGCAATAAAAGGAATTCACTTATATAAAAAAACAAATCTTTTTCTAATCAGATTAAAATTTTGGTGAGCATAACTGCCAACTATGGGAAACCAACATATAAGTTTCTGTATTTCTCAAGAAAAGGTCATAATCTTCAACTGTCAAAATCCAAGATGACTGTTTGTGAGCCATTTTGTTTCTAGATCAGCCTGACAATAAATTGGGCACAACTTGAGATCGAGGGGAACCTACCTACTTAGTCTGCAAAATGTTAATTTAGTAATTCTCAAGAAACAGTGATAACAAAACTTAAAAATCCTTGATTTACTGATCAGTCGAAAAGTTAAATGGGTGGAACCTGGGATAGAGGGGAACATACAGACAAATGTATTGAGTTTGAGAATATCCCTCTATGTCACAAGAGATAGCAATAACAAACTTCTAGTCTACATTAACGATGGCTGCTTGTTAGTAGGTTTGTTTCACTGATCACTACACAACTAGGCACCATTAGGAACATACACATCAAATCTGAGAAATATATCTCCAGATTGTTTATGACTGTCATGATTACAGATGGATGGCAGGGTGTGGACAATGGGCAAACTATAGTTTGTGGTCATCAGCCAAGGTTTGGAGGTCAATAATACCAAATCTGTCAACTTATCACAATATAACACATTGGCCCTAAAATATGGTTCATGCTTACACCATTCTCAGATCTACACGAATCTATCTGCAGAGGTCATCCGTTCTATGGGAATTGAGGCAAATATGGCTCAGTCGCAGAGTGTTTGCTTATCTAACTTTGGGTGAAGCTCATGCCAGATGCTGAGAAGTCTGTCCTGTCATAATTGCGTTGTTAGGCAAAACAGTTTACCATAATTGCTCTGAATGAAATGTGATGGGCCTTCTGTATGTTGTTCAGTGAAGAAGCCACCAGCTACTCCAAGAAGACCCCATTTCAAAATTATGCAATCTTTTCATGGGGTGATAAACCAAGCAAACAATCATTAATTACAACATCAATGCAAATAAAAGTACAGATCTGGTTTTAAAATAGTTGAATACTATGTTCAGTACATCAAGTGCTGTGGTACAGTACAACACATTATTCAGTTATTGGCATACAGTTACATTTAACTGTTAATTAGTATAACAACCTAAGTTATCAGTTTATATTACTGGCACGACATTCTATACATAAAAAAAATCTTGTTATGATTTAGTCATCTTCCTATTAAAAATGAAAGCATTTCTGTGTTCTGAATAAAATGGTTTCATTGTGTTTTATAGTTACTGTGTACTAACTGAGAAGTGAAAATGCTTGGTATAAATATAGATATCAAAGTTATATGACTACTGATAAACGGTGCATCTCATAAATTTGGGTGGTCTTTTTTTTTTTTTTTTTTGTCTATTTTTTTTAAACTAAATCAAATTGCAAATGACATAACAGGTTTAGACATCCAAAAATGTGCCAACGTGTCAATGTCACATTTGTCTGATTATCCCACTTCTCCTGACAAAAGGAACATGATATTAAGTGGGTTACACTGTATTTGTATTCAACAATGATGACAATAAATCTCAATTAAAATTATATTTCACGATCAAATAAATATAATAAACATAACATAAAACAAATCAGATCTTTATGACTTTTGAGAATACATGTCAATGGCAATTGACTTCCATGATTTAAATACATATCAGATCAAGAGGCATGTAATCGACAAAGGATCTTACAGGAGTTTTCATTTCAATGACATTTCTGAAACAGTTTTAGACTTTTCATCAGGCCTTTTTATCACATGATTAATTATGTAAGCAAATATTGTAGAAAACTTTCTCATAAATTAAACCTGAAATCTTTTTCACTCCATATTTATCTTTTATTGCACTTCCTGGAAAGGCAACCAGTATTTCTTTCGGCCCGTTGTATTAACAGTACAGTAAATGCCCATGGATGTTGAGACTTAGTTTATCATAAACTTTACTTAACACTAATCCCTTAAAATAGCTGTAAACTTATATCATTCATTCCTGTTGGCCTGGATGGTTTTCGGCAGAAACCAGAGTATCAGGAGAATATCCAAATGGTTGGGTAGATTGCTAAATACTTGTCATGTCCAATCAACGAACAAACTAGGAACACCAAGGTAAAGGCAAGTGTGTTTTACAAAATAATACCACTGCCCCATCCAACCAACCATGTGAAATTTAATGTACACTGAATTTTGATTCACCTGTAACCAATGTAAACATGGCAGATCATTTTGACTGACCTATATTTATGGTTATATTTACAAATACAAATGAATATAGTAGAGCTTGGATGACTCCTTCAAGTGTTGTGAGTGGGCTGATAACTGAGAAAATTTGTGTTATTGAAATGACCAGTCTATTTCTCCTCGTCTTGACACAATAGACCATAAAAAACCATAACTTAAATTGTAAAATGTACTGTAAACCATAATAAATCCTTTCAATAAAATATTTTATAATTTCCTAACACAGGTAATTATATAACAAAACGAAACAAAAACAATTAGTATACTATTAATTAACATCAATTAAAAAGGTAAACCGTTTAGACATAAATTTGTTACAAAATTGTCCAGTTGAAGCCACTCTAGCTGCACACTCAATGTCACAATGAATGCTGATGACATTACATAATCAGGATGGATGAGTTCAGGTTCTGATGGATTGTAATGGACATAAATCCTGGATGACGTAGGGTATAACAGCAGGGAAATTGTCGGAAGACAAATTGAAAATTAGTAGCTATGCAAGTTCTGCAAGACCATCCCAGTTTGGTTTTCTGGATTTTAACAAAATGTCCACTGCTTCTGATAGATCATTGACAATGGCTGATGGTTTGACTTTTGGGTGATTTTCATCAGTGGTTCTGAAAAGTAGACACAAAAGTTTTCACAAAACCAGCTGTTGGTTTTTTAAAGGACTGTAAGTTTTACTTTACTAAAGGCAGGGACAAGCAAATTATATGCAATTACAAAACAAATTACGTCATAAACACTTACACACTGTTACCAGAACATCAATAAAATAATTTGAATTAAACGACAACAGCGAATAAAAGACTCCAGTTAACTCAATTCTTCTTCATAAAAAAACAATTTTATTTTGCAGATGATAGAATTGAGACAGAATACCAATAACACAAAGCAAAATAAAAGAGTAAAGTTTCCTTTATACCACACAACTACTTATCGGTACGTAGTCCCAAACATTTCTCCTATCTTGTTGTCTCCTCTAACCTATATTTGTCTGTACTTACAAGCACCTTTCCCATCCCATCATTAATTGGTCCGTCTCCTCTAACTCACTTGTATTTGTCTGTACATACTCCTACCCCTCTCATCCATCCTATCTTGGTGTCTCCACTATCTTCTCCACGAACTCACCTGTATCTTTGAACCAAAGTATATACTAGTACACCTCTCATCCCTCCTACCTTTGTCTGTCTCCATTAACTCACCTGTATCTTTGAACCTAAGTATATACTAGTACCCCTCTCATCCCTCCTACCTTTGTCTGTCTCCACTAACTCACCTGTATCTTTGAACCTAAGTATATACTAGTACCCCTCTCATCCCTCCTACCTTTGTCTGTCTCTACTAACTCACCTGTATTTCCCTGAACGTACAAGCACCCCTTTCATCCCTGTTGACAGCGCCCCTCCTACGTCACTCACAATGTCATCTCCCACCATCACAACCTGGTAAAAGATTTTATATTGTTTGATTATTTTTGAGTAGAACTACATGCTGATACTTTGTTCTCCTGTCCTGTGTCAACACATTATTAATATATAAATATTAATTAACCATATACTGTTATATTTGGGGGTGGGTTGCAAAATGACTTCCCGAGTATTTTAAGTAAATTTCTCCTACGCATAACTTTCTATATACAGTACATGTACAACTGTTCATGCCTTTGAAACACAAAATACTGTCAGAGTACAAAGGATTCTGAACCTACATCATCAGCATAACATTCAAGTAAGATATTACATAATATTCTGCCAACAGAAGTATGGATTTTAAAATGTAGGTACTTGGGTGATGGTAACACACTCCCTTTCACCAAGATGGGTTAAATTTTCAGAATGGACGTGTAAAGGTATGGAGCCACCTGCCTGACCATGTAGGCTCTCCTTGGATACTTTGGTTTCATCCAACAGTAAGACCCCTCGCACACTTCCACCCAGGCCAAAAACAATGAGAAGTATAAATTGGATAACTTGTTTGCAATTGTTTTAAAATAAAATTTAAAATGGAGGTATTTATCTTCATCCAAGGTAGAACTGAAAGTAACATAATTTAGAGGATCAATGATGATTTACAAAATATACTCAACAAAAATAGAAACAAACAATTAAATTATGCAGACAAGTCTACTCTTTACAATATTGTAGAGGAAAAGTCTGTGTGATGTCACTCGTGTTGTCAATAGTTACTCAAAGTGGGGTACCTGCGAAAAACAAAATGACACTACAGTACCTTGTGTGGGCACCTCTTGCACCTATCCCTGCACTGATTCTCCTATGCATTGAATTCATGAGAACATTAATTTGTCTTAAAGGAATGTTGTTCCATTCTTGTGTTAATGCTGGGATCAACTGGGCTCGGTAAGTTGGGGATTTTTACTTTCTACACCTGTCCACCTTATCCCACAGGTGCTCAATGGGAGACATGTTGGGGCTATATGGGGGCCATTCCAGAGGCTGAATTATGTTTGCCATAAGAAAGTCACAACAGGCTCTAGAAACATGTGGTCGAGCATTGTCTTGCTGAAAATTTGGGTTATGACGTCCAAGACGTAGAAGGACATGTGGTTGGAGGATCTGGTCTCTGTATTGAACAGCATTGAGGTTTGGATCCAGGACCACTATGGGAGATGCCTCCCCAAACCGTTACAACAGACCCATCAAATCTATCGCTTTCAACCATGCATATGTCGGTGAAATGCTCACCGCTTCTGCGATATACCCTTTTTTTCTATTTGACAATACAGACATAATCTAGACTTGTCACTGAACACCAACGCATCCTTAACCTTTCTGGGCCATGTCTTTGCATCCAGTCAAGAGGCACTTGCTGCTCCGTAGTGGCCTGATATAAGGTCGGCACGCAACGATTCTCTCAGTACGCAAGCAGTTTCTGGCAGTTTGAGCACTAATAGGTCTGCAATAAGTACCTAATTATGCGACACAGTCTCTACTGCAGTCTTGAATCTGTTGCACAAGTGTGACACTCAAATCAACCTGTCTTGTTTTGAGGAGGTTACATGCAGACTACTGCTCCTAAGACAATCAGAAACTAACCCAGTAGCATGGAAACGTGTATAGAGACGGTTAATTGTTCACAAGGCAATGCCAAAATGACATGCGACAGCAGTTTGGCTATGACCATCTATCAAGGTCGCAATTGCTCCACCCCTCTGAAATTGCATTAAGTTTGGCATCTCAGTCAATGGCGAAATCAAAATGCCAACATGGAAAATTAATGGGGTTGAACTTGGAATTATTATTATTAAAAAATCAGTCTTGGCTTGATCACGCCACATGATTTGGCTAAAGAAGCTCACAAAGTCAGACAATGATACTGTCACCCTTGACTGCTTTTAGGGTAGATTGTTGAGAAGGGAGGTCATTCTTGATGTAAAACCTTACCAAATATTCCATTATTTCCTTACAGCGAAGGTGTACTGTTAGGGGGAACTTTGTAAATTTCTTTTTATGTTGAGTATACATTAATTCATAAATTACCAAAAATCACTTTCTCTGATTCCAGCAATATTGTTTGTTATATATTAATGTTGTTCTGACTTCTATAATGATTATAATTATTCAATTCCATGAAAGCTTTATGTTACTGTCACTACACTTTTCAATTTGAAATATTCAAGAATACACATTAAGAATAATCCTGAAAGAATAAACACACAAGAAATGGTATATATATTGTAACCGCTAAAAATGAATAAATAAACAATAAAGCAACAAAGAGCACCCAGAATTATTTATCTATATTTATAATGTTATTGATAATTCCTAAAGTGGAACACTAACTCCAAACAAATAAACATATCCTGTTTGGCTCATTAGTCCATCTTCTGATCTCACCTTGTCAGCACTGAGGCCCATGTCCTTCACAGCAGTGTTAAAAAAGATAGCAGATGGTTTCCCTACTACTTCAGCTTTAATATCACAGGCATACTATAAAATAAAACAAGAGTGCAGTGGACACAATATACACCACCACAAAATATAAAGATCAAGATAAAATGGCATAAATCTTACAAAAATCAATGAATCGTAAAATCTCCCCTTCATGCACATCGAAACATTGTAGTAGTGACACTGAGCAAGTTTCGTGAAAGTCTGATGATTATTTCAGGAGTTGCGTTCACAAGGCTCAACTATGAGAAAGCTACAGATACAACGTTTAAAATGGCATAAATCTTACAAAAATCAACGAACCAAAAAATTGCCCCTTCATGCACATCTACCCATTGTAGTAGTGACACTGAGCAAGTTTCATGAAAATCTGATGATTAGTTTAGGAGGAGTTGCGTTCACAAGAAATGGACGGACATACAGACGGACGGACGAAGATGACGCTAATATACGACCGCCTGATTTAACAACAATGGACAAATTTTACTTTCTTATCTTCTTTCTTCTTCTTTCTTAAAAATGTATTGTGTTTTTAGAAAATTTAAACTTCCAAGAAAATAGTATCAGACCCCTGGTCTTTAAAGTTTTTGTCCTTGAGGAATTCAATCAAAACAAGTTACATCTTAGAAACACATTGTACTAAGCTATATTTTTAACATTTCATCTTTTAATACAAAAGAAAACATACATCTCAAGCTTTTCTAATGCAGAGTACATTTTAAAAATAATACTGCAAATCTGATGACAGAAAGAAACTCTGAACCAAACAAACATATGATGACTGCTTTCTCAGATGGTTATACAAGGGAGAATATTCAGTACTTTTAGACTGGTGTGTAACATCACAGCATGTGATATTTGCCTAGTTAACAAAGTATAGAAAAATCCTTTTGTTGACAACCAGAGCTTCCTTAACTGACTTAGTTATTGAGAATTCTTCTTCATCTTCTTACAAAGTAAGCATAGAGTATAGTAAGCCAGGGTACCACACTGGATACCTTATTGAAAGTGAAAATCTTTTACATGATGATGAATTCAACACTGATGCAGTACCATATTCAACAATAAAGATACAAGTATGTCTCATTAAATTTGTTTAAAATATGTTGAGTAAATGTAACAGTATGTTAAATTCCAACATGAATAATGTATTTCAGTCTTACCTCTAAAGCACTACAGAATGACCCTACATCTAGCACTAAATCCTCTCCATCTTTATAGTACCTCCTGTCAAAAAACAAATTTTACTTGTTATAACACAATGTTACATAGTGTATATATTGTAAAAGTGATTTGCTTAATTATAGCTCTTTTGGAAATGAGAGAGAACCATCATGTACTTCTCAAGAAAAAGAGATAACAAACTTTCAAAATCAAATCCAAGATGGGCCGTCTTTCGGCCATTTTGTTCTTTTTACCAGTCCCAAAATCAAACAGGCACAAATAGAGACCAAGGGGAATCTACATATGCAATATGACAAAGATCCATCCAGTATTTTTCAAGAAATAATGATAAAAAAAATTGTTTACCGATGGACAGACCACGGATGCAGAGCTATTTGAATAGCCCACCATTATAAAAATAAAAATTGAGACAACTAATATATCTGCTGGTCATGAAACTTTAATATAAAGTCAGAATGTAAAACTGAGATGAATATTGTTCATTTTTAGGCTAAGATTTTTTATTTTTAAAAATTTACAAATGTAAATACATGTATAAATGAAAACACAGTCACACAAAGATTACAACACATTGTCAAGACAGTTTATACACTATAACTGAACATACCCTTTGCCAAGGGAGAAAAGAGATGGCTTGTTGAGAGAGATCAGGACCTGAAATGCCTTATTCAGATTATCGTAGGAGTACTCGTCTACGGCATCGCCCAGCACCACACAGTTAGGGTTCTCAGTACTCACATCACTAAAGTCTGCAAGTGCATCTGTTAACAAATTTCAGTTTGTAATCAATATCAACAATAAATAAAAAAAAAAAAAAAAAACAGTTTTACCCGGTAGCTAAAAATGATATGTGTAGCTATAAAAAAAAACATCATATAACTGAGTATTGCTAAAGCAATATGCATCCCTGATGAGCCAACGCAAGCTTTTACATCATTATGATTATAAAAATGTAATTGTTTGGTGTTAATTTTCAAAAAACAAGAAAGTAAAAAGTTATGTCTGTAACTAAATTTAATGTAACAATTCAGTAAATAAACATAACAATCTGACAATACAGTTTTATCACCGTGTATAATGTTTCACTCTGACAAAGCAGCACAGGTTTCTACAGCAATGATATTGTATAGCTGTAACTTAATACCCTGGTTTCATGTGATACCCGAAAGCAGCACACTCCAGGGTCTTCTAAAATTGTAAACTATTGGACTTTCTCAGGTTTAGGTGAGAGGTCCACTTCCTATCCTGTTGTGTTTAAAAGTGGCAGGAGGTGGGGTTGACCCCTTACAGACAATATATCTGTTGATTTAAAAAAGGGGAAATGGTACGGAAAATATCAAATAAGTTTGAAATCTGTAAAGATGTTGAATTCATTACAATTCAAAAAACAAGAGTACTGAAACACCTCTGGAAGGGCCATACCTTGTTTCAGACTCTAGACCTGAGTGTTACACTGATATTGAATTTTGCTAATTGCATAAGAGACATACACATTTGCCTGTGAAATATAATAAAAGATGTTTCATATATAACCTGATGGCCTTGACCTTCAGTCAAGCATCTCCTCATTTATTTCAACTATTTTTGCTTATAACATATTAATCAATTTGACCTCAAACTTTGACCAATGGTAAAGCTATTTTCATGATACCTTGTGAACACCATTAGTACCAGTACTCACTAGGATGTACAAGAAGATGTGGATGGAGCTCTCTTTCCTTCAGAACCTGACACATGGCTGGAATTGGTGAAAACACTTCTTCTGGTTTAATGTCAAACCCAAAGCCTTTCATTTTCTCTACTAATGCTTGACTGGTGTAGGTTGTCTCATTGGTACAAAACCGAACTGGCAGCCCAGCCTCTTTAAGTCTGTTAAAAATATGTTTCTATAAAAGATCAACACACACGTTAAATCTCAAACAAGCACAATATGCTGTCCCTGTTGGTTCTAAATACAGAGGATATATCTCAAGAGTGACTTTTAAATTGTTTTTAATATACATAATACTTTGATGTTACGTACAATCTGTTTTACTGTGTATCATATACAGGTGTGAGGATACCTCTACTTTTAATGTATTATATACAGGTGTAAGAATATCTCTACCTCCATTCATAATATACAGATGTGAGTTATCTCTATCATGTATTATATACAGGTGTGAGTTATCTCTATCATGTATTATATACAGGTGTGAGTTATCTCTATCATGTATTATATACAGATGTGAGTTATCTCTATCATGTATTATATACAGGTGTGAGGATATCTCTATCATGTATTATATACAGGTGTGAGTTATCTCTATCATGTATTATATACAGATGTGAGTTATCTCTATCATGTATTATATACAGGTGTGAGGATATCTCTATCATGATATCAGGTGTGAGGATATCTCTATCATGTATTATATACAGGTGTGAGGATATCTCTATCATGTATTATATACAGGTGTGAGGATATATCTATCATGTATTATATACAGATGTGAGTTATCTCTATCATGTATTATATACAGGTGTGAGTTATCTCTATCATGTATTATATACAGGTGTGAGGATATCTCTATCATGTATTATATACAGGTGTGAGGATATATCTATCATGTATTATATACAGGTGTGAGGATATCTCTATCATGTATTATATACAGGTGTGAGTTATCTCTATCATGTATTATATACAGGTGTGAGGATATATCTATCATGTATTATATACAGATGTGAGTTATCTCTATCATGTATTATATACAGGTGTGAGTTATTTCTATCATGTATTATATACAGGTGTGAGTTATCTCTATCATGTATTATATACAGGTGTGAGTTATTTCTATCATGTATTATATACAGGTGTGAGTTATCTCTATCATGTATTATATACAGGTGTGAGTTATCTCTATCATGTATTATATACAGGTGTGAGTTATCTCTATCATGTATTATATACAGGTGTGAGGATATCTCTATCATGTATTATATACAGGTGTGAGGATATCTCTATCATGTATTATATACAGGTGTGAGGATATCTCTATCATGTATTATATACAGGTGTGAGGATATCTCTATCATGTATTATATACAGGTGTGAGTTATATCTATCATGTATTATATACAGGTGTGAGGATATCTCTATCATGTATTATATACAGGTGTGAGGATATCTCTATCATGTATTATATACAGGTGTGAGTTATCTCTATCATGTATTATATACAGGTGTGAGTTATTTCTATCATGTATTATATACAGGTGTGAGTTATCTCTATCATGTATTATATACAGGTGTATCTCTATGATGAGTGTATATCTCTATCATGTATTATATACAGTTATCTCTATCATGTATTATATACAGGTGTGAGGATATCTCTATCATGTATTATATACAGGTGTGAGGATATCTCTATCATGTATTATATACAGGTGTGAGGATATCTCTATCATGTATTATATACAGGTGTGAGTTATCTCTATCATGTATTATATACAGGTGTGAGGATATCTCTATCATGTATTATATACAGGTGTGAGGATATCTCTATCATGTATTATATACAGGTGTGAGGATATCTCTATCATGTATTATATACAGGTGTGAGTTATTTCTATCATGTATTATATACAGGTGTGAGGATATCTCTATCATGTATTATATACAGGTGTGAGTTAACTCTATCAAGTATTATATACAGGTGTGAGGATATCTCTATCATGTATTATATACAGGTGTGAGGATATCTCTATCATGTATTATATCATGTATTATATACAGGTGTGAGTTATCATGTATTATATCTATCATGTATTATATACAGGTGTGAGGATATATCTGTTATCTCTGTCATGTATTATATACAGGTGTGAGTTATCTCTATCATGTATTATATACAGGTGTGAGTTATTTCTATCATGTATTATATACAGGTGTGAGTTATCTCTATCATGTATTATATACAGGTGTGAGGATATCTCTATCATGTATTATATACAGGTGTGAGGATATCTCTATCATGTATTATATACAGGTGTGAGGATATCTCTATCATGTATTATATACAGGTGTGAGTTATCTCTATCATGTATTATATACAGGTGTGAGGATATCTCTATCATGTATTATATACAGGTGTGAGGATATCTCTATCATGTATTATATACAGGTGTGAGGATATCTCTATCATGTATTATATACAGGTGTGAGTTATTTCTATCATGTATTATATACAGGTGTGAGGATATATCTATCATGTATTATATACAGGTGTGAGTTATCTCTATCATGTATTTATATACAGGTGTGAGTTATCTCTTCTATGTACCATAAACAGGTGTGAAGTTGTCTTTATTATGTATAATATACAGGTGTGAGGATATCTCTATCATGTATTATATACAGGTGTGAGGATATCTCTATCATGTATCATATACAGGTGTGAGTTATCTCTACTATGTACCATAAACAGATGTGAAGTTGTCTTTATTATGTATGATATACAGGTGTGAGGACATCTCTACCTCATAATATACTGCTGTGAGAATCTACCAAGATGAAGTGCTTAGTAATTTTATAGGATTTCCTAATGTGTGTCCAGAGCATGTATTCCAAAATTTTGATTAGTCAAAATAGACATAGTGGGATCTCAAAATTTGAAGCAAGTGTATGACTCCTGGCTCCATATACCAGTATCTGAGTCCCAAAAACCACTGGTCTCTACCTTGTATCATATACATACACAGGTGTGAAGATTCTTTACCTTGTATCAAACAAAGGTGTGAGGTTATTTCAACCTTTTATCATATACAGATAAGGATCATTCTAGGTCCAGTATGAAAATATAATGAAATAGTTTCAGCAAGCTTATTTTAAGCTTTGGATTAAACAAACAATTCAAGCACCAAACCAGTAAATATGTTGGCAGATTGACAATATAAATGAAAACATTAAAAAAAAAACAGACTGAGTTGTAGCCTTTATAATTGTAGTAGGTGGTAGTCTGCACAATGGCCAGAGTGCAAAACAAGGTAATGTTGATGTTCTATTCATTCATATCCTGTGTTCAATTTGCCAGAATGATGTTCACATCTACATCTAATGATGGAAAGGGAACCGAGTGGATCATACATAAAGTCTCTTGGTAGGGATATACAACATGAAGTTAAGATGACATGACAGGTGATGTTGCTATTATAAAGGACAGTGTCAGTTGGAAAGAAGACATGGTAGGATACCATGCATATTGTATTTTTTCTTTCTATTTTTGACATCTAAAAGGTTCTGACCAACTTCAACTTGCTGAAGACAATTTCAGTGGAGGAGAAAAGAGACATAGGGTTCACATTATTTATGTTTAGTTTGGACTGGAATAATGCTATGAATGGCAGTTTTAAAACAATCTTCGGTGGAGCAAGAGACAGTATCTGGTGGAATTTGTTCCACTGAGCAAATGTTTAAGGGGAAAAAAGAACACTTTTACACCAAACCCAAAGGAAAATTGATTGTGATCACTGTTATGATCAGAACTAAGTAGGAGCACAAATTATAAGTGGGCACATCAACAACAGTCTCAATTTATGCCAAAGGAAAGGACAAAGGTGAAATACATTACTACATTGCAGAGTCTTTCCCAAATGGTTCTGACTACCTGTCATTGATTTTCATTAGTCTGTCTTGGTCACATCACAAACTTAGATATATCTACTGTATATCTAAGTCAATCCGACCTAGACAAAATTAAAATCACAGATTGTCGCAACTCTTCACATTACTTGATACATTCATATGATAAATGTCTTATTCATCATTAAGATACATATATAGAGGGACACAGTGAAATCGATTAAATCAGCAGTTAATTTTATCAGGGACGTAGATAACAGCTATCTACGTCCCTGATTTTATACATTTTCTCGAAGACCAACACAGTACTAGCGTTGGTACAGTACTACTGTATGTAGTCCGTCAAGTTTTGACCTCTAAATGTTTTCATTGCTCAATACTCTTGACATGAAATGGCGGCCACTGTCCAGTCTTAACTGTCTTTTTAAAAATATATCATTCAGCTTTATGGATAATTTCACTTGGGATCTAGCGTAGAACAAATGAAAATGAAAGTAGAAATATTGATTTAATATACGGTCAGGGTAACTGGTTTTCATGTTTAAAAAAGTAATGAAAACTTGCCGCTTGACTGCATCGACAGAACCTTTGATGGCGTTGGATTGTCCGCTTTCGCACAAAACTCCTGTCATGTCCAATAAAACACCATCTACACCGTCTGTCCATTTCTCTGCGCTTGTCATGTTCCCTTAATGTCCGGACCCGTAAACCTTTCCCGTTGTAAGCATTCGGTGCACCTCAGATTTGGTGATTGCGTTACTTACACATTATTTAACCTTGACCTTGTCAACAAAAACTCGGAACTTTATACAAAATATACAAAACATGGCGGAAAGAGATGCTGGTAGTAGTCTGGAAGACAACCCCGTTCCGTCAGATGTTCTTGTTCAAAATCAAATGAAAGATGTTATTATATTACAAGAACTGACGATCAGCAAACTTCAACATGAGGTAAGCGATCAAAAATAAACAAGCAAAAAGAAATTAGACTATACTATTTCTTTATATGTTTTCTGCAGAACTTGTTGATGCCTGTCTAGCTGCTGTGTGCTGACAGTTATACCAGGCCTAGCATCTCTCCAACTGATATTGTTACCACGGACCGGTCATAGCTATTTATGCCTATGCATTATTTAAGAAGAATAAGATGGTTTGATATTTAGATGTCTATGCTTTCATTTTACTTTTTTCTTATCTTTTGAGTCCTGACACTTAAGTTCACGAATTCATGTCCATGTTTCAAAACGAAAGAAAAAATATACAAATAAATGGAAAAAACTGGGTTTTTATTCTATATTAGAATATGACCATCCACTAATTCCTCATGCCTAAGTAAGGATCGTTGGGCATTTCATTGCAGATACTTTCAACTGTCTGTTTTTCTTTAGATAACATTGTGCCCGCTCATTAAGCAAAATATAATTACATTATCAAGGAATGGTCAGTAATGTTGGGAAATCTGAACTTATCCCATTTGATATTATGATGTCATAAGGTTTGGGTACACAAATATGGATGGCATCATTATCAAGTTCAATGTTTTAGAGTAAACAACACAATGTGAAGTGTTGTATGTACATTTCAAGTCTCATTGTTTTCTTAATACATTCAGATATAAATTTTAATCATGCTACAAAATAATACAAAGTAAGTTATATCTGGTCAAGACATTACTCTGTGTTTAAATATTCATTACAAATATGTGTCATTGTGTCTAGTTCAATGAACCCTATCATTAAACTTAAACCTAAATTCCTAGTTTGCTCAGTAAAATCAAATACGTATATAACACATGTGTTATATACGTCTCTGGTAAAATTTAGAAATATGATGGGTATGTTTATGCTTCATGCACATGGTTCATGCATTTATTCATATAAATTATGATTTCACAGAATATATGTATATGATTAAGTTATGAATTTTATTAGTATTAGTTGTGTAGCAGAAAGTTGAATTTTCACTTTTATATTGATGTACAATTTATATTTTATTCCAGATAACTTTACAGGAATCCACTCTACAAGAAAGTTTCCTGCCAAGAGAAGTATATGATACTGAACTGAAACAGCTTGAGGTACATTTGCATACTTTAATGTTCTTCAAATATTTTACAAGATTTGAAGTATGTCAAGCAAGCAATTCTTATATCACCTTAGATGAAAACTTTATGTTTAGACACAATGTTCTTGCCTCTGTGCATAAGACAGATTGGTATTCATGCTAGCTGTGTGTAAACATTAAATGGTCTTTGCCCTGTATGTTGGCACATTTATCCTGATTTTGTTTATAGACACCTTTGTTCCTTGCCTTTTTGTGTTGAGTGTGTAAACCCCTTGTCACTTTGTGTGTAGACACATTAAAAATATTGTTCCTTGCTCTGTATATAGATACATTGTCATTTTCTCTGCATGTATAGATACATTGTCATTTTCTCTATGTGTATAGATACATCATCAGTTTCTCTATGTGTATAGATACATTGTCATTTTCTCTGTGTGTATAGATACATTGTCATTTTCTCTATGTATAGATACATTGTCATTTTCTCTATGTGTATAGATACATCGTCAGTTTCTCTATGTGTATAGATACATTGTCATTTTCTCTATGTGTATAGATACATTGTCATTTTCTCTATGTGTATAGATACATCATCAGTTTCTCTGTGTGTATAGATACATCGTCAGTTTCTCTGTGTGTATAGATACATTGTCATTTTCTCTGTGTGTATAGATACATTGTCATTTTCTCTGTGTGTATAGATACATTGTCATTTTCTCTGTGTGTATAGATACATTGTCATTTTCTCTGTGTGTATAGATACATTGTCATTTTCTCTGTGTGTATGGATTTTCTCTGTGTGTATGATACATTGTCATTTTACTGTGTTTAATAATCTGAATGTTGTTGATCAGTGTGTGTAAGAGTATTTCTCTGTGTGTTGATTGTCATTTTCTCTGTGTGTAACAGTCAATTAAACTAGTTTCTCTGTGTGTTATTGTACTTTTCTGTGTGAAAACAGTTTACTGTGTGTAAGAAGATTACATTTTCTCCTGTGTGAGAAGTATGTAAAAACATTTTTCTGTGTGTATAGATACTGTCATTTTCTCTGTGTGTATAGAAACATTGTCATTTTCTCTGTGAGTATAGATACATTGTCATTTATTCAGTGTGTATAGATACAATGTCATTTTCTCTGTGTGTATAGATACATTGTCATTTTCTCTGTTGTAGTCAGTGTTTCTCTGTGTGTAGATACATTGTATTTTCTCTGTGTGGATACATTGTCATTTTCATGTATTAATATCATATGTGGACATTCAGTTTCTCTATGTGTATAGATACATTGTCATTTTCTCTGTGTGTATAGATACATTGTCATTTTCTCTGTGTGAATAGATATATCGTCATTTTCTCCATGTGTATAGATATATCGTCAGTTTCTCTATGTGTATAGATACATTGTCATTTTCTCTGTGTATAGACACATTGTTTTCTTTCTGTGTATAAACACCTTGTCATTTGCTCTTCATATTGATCCACATTTTACTAGGTATGGATATCTTAATGAAGATTTATTTTACTGATTTAATAATCTGAATGTTGTTGATCAGTTATTAAGAGTATTTCCGACTGTTGATGCTTGTGTAAAGTCAATTAAACTATTGTTATTATACTTTTCAGAAAACAATACAAGAAGATTACATTCCAAGGGAGAAGTATGAAAAACTTCAAACTGAATTAGAGGTAACTACATATATTTTCTACATGTACTTGTTTGTTTGTTAGGTTTATCAGCCTGTGAACAGTCAGCTGGGTCAATTTGAGTCAGTGTCTCTGTGTAGTTATTGGTGGCTACCTCAATTAACATCATATTGGACATTGGACCTGTATGCTGTCCAGAGCAGTAAGGGTAAAGTGTCTTTCTCAAGGATGCAATCATTCCAACAAAGACCAGTCTGAAGTGAGCCCATTTGATATATCACAAGTATTGGTTTTCTTAATCTACTGAATACCACATTGTGGGGACCTCTACTGAATACCACATTGTGGGGACCTCTACTGAATACAACATTGTGGAGACCTCTACTGAATACCACATTGTGGGGACCTCTACTGAAAACCACATTGTGGGGACCTCTACTGAGTACCACATTGTGCCAACCTCTACTGAATACCACACTGTGGGGACCTCTACTGAATACCACATTGTGGGGACCTCTACTGAATTCCACATTGTGGAGACCTCTACTGAATACCACATTGTGGAGACCTCTACTGAATACCACACTGTGTTGACCTCAACTGAAAACCACATTGTGGGGACCTCTACTGAGTACCACATTGTGGAGACCTCTAATGAATACCACATTGTGGGGACCTCTACTGAATACCACATTGTGGAGACCTCTAATGAATACCACATTGTGCCAACCTCTACTGAATACCACACTGTGGGGACCTCTACTGAATACCACATTGTGGGGACCTCTACTGAATTCCACATTGTGGAGACCTCTACTGAATACCACATTGTGGAGACCGCTACTGAATACCACATTGTGGGGACCTCAACTGAATACCACATTGTATTTATCCAGGAAGAGTGCAACAATTTGATACATCACTAGTATTTCTTTTCTTACTTTATTCAGTTTCCCTTGTGGATTTGTATAGTTTTTGTTTCAAGTCCATACATATATGTATGATTCCAATTATAATGTCACATTCTGGTTTTGTCTTTGGGCATAATTTTATGGTCTTTGTGTCAAGCACTTACAGTACATATCTTATACTTACCAGTAAAATGTTTGACATTGTATGATATTCATTGGGTTATAAAATACTATTTGGAATACTGCAAGGATGAAATGAGATTGTTGAAAAGTAAAGAAATTGATAATGATAACTCAGACGTGTAGCATGTATTTCTATTTAAAATCACTCATATGTTCTAAAAATATTTTTTGAAATGAGAGATAATAATTGAAATGTTGAAAACCTTTTTTTAACTGTTGATGTGTATTTTTCTTTTTAATTTCAAAGTATGTTTATTCTTCACTTAACAGCAACAGAAGCTGAGTCATTTAAAGGTACAAGGAGAGCTACATGAAGTCAAAGACAAGTTAGAGTTTGCCTTGGGTGAAGTAGAGGTTCTTACTAAGCAACTTCAAAGAGAGAAGGCAGCATTTGAGAAAGCGTGAGTATATTACTAGCTTATCCTGCAATAAATCAAAGGAAACTATTACATAGACTCTAGCTAGGCAAGTAAGCTTATTACAGGGAAAATATGATATACATGTAATTAGAGTGGTTTATAACACTGCATAGGTATGTTGGCATTAGTTTGGTAATACTCTCAGTAAACCTTTTGCAGCATTAATTCTTTCCTGACTGAATTAGCAGAGGTTGATAATACAGGATTTGCAAATGTTGCTAATCCTGACTATCAACCTCTGCTAATACTATATTATCAGCTTTTGCTAATCCTGTATAATCAGCATGTGCTAATCCTGACTATCAACCTCTGCTAATCCTATATTATCAGCCTCTGCTAATCCTGTATAATCAGCATGTGCTAATCCCGACTATCAACCTCTGCTAATCCTGACTATCAACCTTTGCTAATCCTGACTATCAACCTCTGCTAATCCTGTATAATCGACCTCTGCTAATCCTGTATTATCAACTTCTGCTAATCCTGATTTGCAACCTCTGTCAATCTTGTTTTATCAACCTCTAGTAATTCTGTGTTATCAACCTCTGCTTATCAGAATTAAAAGAGGTTGATAATACAGGATTAGCAGATGTTGATGATACAAAATTGAGCGCTTACGAAACTGATAGAGGAGTCTTTAATTTGCTTTTAAGTTCTGGCTCAAAGTTAAGGAATGGGTTTATCACAAAGCATTGAGTAAGCGTTTGTTGGTAATTTAACTCATCAGTAACATATATGGAAGGTCTTTAATACAAACTATTAGCTTATTGCTAGATAAATGTGGAACTGTATGTTCTATAATGTGATAGCAGGGTGATGCTGCAGCTTAATGATATTGTCTGCCTCTTATACAGATTTGGTTCTCTCCAAAAAAAGGCTGTGGAGGAAACATCAAAGACTGCCATGCTGACAGACAAGTGTTCAGGTGAGATTTGATGGCTGACTTGTATCTGCCAAAGTATCATACAAAGGATTATAAACAATTCCTATTTTTATGGGACTGATACTGTTACAAGATTAAAAGGGATTGAAATTTTCCACGGATTAGTCATTGCAATGTACTTGGGTACTTGCAAGTGTAAATTGTGCCAAGAAAGGGCTCTCTCTCTCTCATTCTCCCTCTCTCTCGGAACATAGTTGTTTATATTTAGCAAATCTGGATTATAATGCAAATTAATTAATTTTGCACCATCTCCATTAACAATATGATGGACCCATCAGAAATTTAACATGACATCTTTCACAAGCTATTTTTTGTTGTTGTTAGAAATCAGTGAAGAAGTACAGAAGAAGGATGAAGAATTAAATTCCAAAGAAGAAGAAATTCAGCAGTTAGAAAAGAAATTAAAACAACAACAATTTAATTATAAAAAGAAACTAAGTGATGCTGAAATTCAGCGTAAACAAGACCAATACATTGCCAAACTTCTAGACAAACAGGACAAAAAAGCTGGATACACAGAATTCCAGCGACCAAAGTCTCGCAGTACAAGTGCTAACAAAGCAAGTAAAAACACATGGAGATGATGTCTATTTTATGTAGTGTTGTATAACCTAGGTCATTTTTAATGTACTTTGGAACATTGCAAATCTACCGAAATCTGATAAGGATTTCTCAGCTGAATTGAAACTGCTGTGGTACAGAAAATCAAACTGTACAAACACATGTGATGTTCATACTATGGAGTGGAATTCTAAGTGTTACTCAGCCCATAATTTAATTTTCTAACCTTATGTACTGTAAATTTACTGTTTGTGAAAATCTCATTTGCCTTAGAAGAATTTAATGATTTGTGATTTTTGTATCCTAAATTTGGTTTTTACTGAGGAGGGGTATTTTCAGATTTTGTACTTTAAAAATTTACTGTAGGCATTTTAATTCATTTCATATCTGAAGGTGTTTGTTTTTCTTTTTTGTAAACAGAATTATGTGTGTACTGAAGTAGAATACATGCCAAGGGATCAATATTGGAAAACTTAAGATCTCCATTTTGAATGCTGGTCTTTAGTAAACAGAAGATTGTAGGTTGTGCGACTTTATTTTGATTATGTTTATTATTACAATTTTATGAACTGTAAATTTTATCAACACAGTTTCAGAATAGAACTCAGTGCATGTATTTCAGCAGCAAATTTTTAAAAATCTGTTTGGGACCAAAAGTTTAGATAGAGAATCACTAAATTTACTGAAATAATTTATATGTTGTTTTCAGTCTAAAAATAATGACAGGTGTTACATTGATTTCTATACATTTTTACATAAGTAATGTCAGTATAGTAATTTCTGGGAGAAACTGTGATTTGACTCTCAGTCAAACATACAAAGGAAATGTTTTAAGAATTAGAAACAGTTGAAGTGGACATGACAGGATGTGCTACATTTTATTCCAGTGATGTTGCTCTTTTGCAATTTAAAATCATTTGTGAGATAGATAAGAGTTCTGTCCATCACAAATTTTCTTGTGTTTAAAATCAATACATTTTGTAACTGGCCAAATGAATTTATTGTATCAGCAGATTTTAGAAAAATTATGGAAGCATTGAGTCAGCATATCCATAATGGCATTAAAAAAAAGGTTGTCTTTGTGTCAGGGTATCACATGTGCCTTATATCTAATGAAGAGTTGTGTTAAATCCAACGACAGCAGTATATGAGATGTGTACAGGGGATCAAAAATAATACTAGGGTAATTTTTTAGCTCACATTGATCTGAGCTTTTGCTGTACCATGGCATCTGTCTGTTGTCAATCTACAATTTACTAAAACATGACTAGTTATGAATGACTTAGCAGATTTTTTGGGGCAGAAGAGACAGGGTCAAATAGGACAAGATTCTTTAAAATCATTTGTGCATGGATTCTGTCCTAGTTTTGCCTGAAACATCCGTGGGTGAAGGGAAATCAATTTTGTATAACACTGGTTCTCAAACCTATGGGACAGGAGAGATCGGGCCCAATAGAGGAATTACAGCAAAATCTTTAAAATCTATCTGCTTGTGTGGGAATGCCTGGATTCTGTCCTAGTTTTGTCTGAGGCATCACAAGGGGATGGGAAATCAATTTTGCATCAATAATGGGTCTTACACGTTGGGGTAGGAGGGGCTGTGCCCAATAGGGAAATTAGAGCAAGTTCTTTAAAATCCTTCTTCTTCTGTAGAAATGCCAGGAGTCAGGCTCAATTTGGTCAGAAGCAATCATTGGTGAAAAAGACTTTTGATCAAATGGTTTTGGCTGACCAACCAGGGGACAGAGGAGTGGGACCCAATAGATAATAGATATTAACCTTTAAAAACCAGCACCCAATTTTTTCAGTTTGGATAAAGCAATTTATTTCAGTCAAACATAGCCATGTTAGCAATATGTCAACCCTATGGGTCTCTTGTACTAAGAAAACATTTTGTTCTTAATGCTCACATTTATTTATTATAAACATATATATCTAACACAAGATATTAGTTTATAAATGATATTACAAGCCAGACACACAATATGCATTTCTTTTACAAAGTGCCTCTTTTAAAAGCTTTGCCATTTAATGCAGGTGTATTAAAGTTCCTGTTAAGCTGTTCAAATCTTGAAGTCTGTGACCTATGTTCAAAGTTTTATTGACTTCTAGAATAGAATTAAAGACAATTTTAAACCAAGACTCTTAGCCTCAAAACTGTGGTACATTTACAGTCGTTTCTCCCCCTCCCAATACATTTGTACCCAGTAGTAATGAACATGTGCTGAAGTCATAAAAATATAAGTATTCATACAAAACTGCTTGTGTTGAAAATTTAGTTGTCATGTTACATATATTGATATTTATTGTGGAGTTCTTCTGTTCAAATGAGGTCAAATAATAAGACAAGGATTATAGAGAATCATGTTTAAATTGCCTCATTTTAGGTAATCTGACCCAAATGGTCAGGATGACCTATAGCCATCGTGTTTCATCCATCGTCTGAGTATCCTTGATCCACTTTCAAGGTCACAGAGGTCAAATATGTTAAAATCTTTAAACAACTTCCTCTCTATAACCAAAGGGCCCAGGGTACTGATATAGGGCCTGTAGCATGATGGGATGAAGGGCTACCAAGTTTGTAAATATGAATGACCTTGATCCACTTCCGAGGCCACAGGGGTCAAATATGTTGAAATGTTTCAACAACTCTTTTCAAAAGCCAAAACCCCAGCATGCCAGGATGTAGGGCTACAAAGTTTGTTGATAGGAAGGAAATTCCTTCAGAGAAGGTATTGTAATTCCTTCCGAAGAAATCAAAGGAAATTGCTCCAGAGAGGGTTATGGGATTGTGTCTGGAGAAATCAATAGAATTCCCTCAAGAGGGGTTAAGCAAATTTGTTTAGGAGAGGTTGAAGGAATTCTCTTCAGAAATGCTAAAGGAATTCCCTCAAAGTGCTTCATTACTACGGGTCTTGTTTGAATTGTGTGAGTGTTGATAACTGTTTATTTATTTTTATGACACAAATGAACTATGGCTGTTTAAAAAGTTATATATTATATGACTGCATGACTTATGAAGGACTTTTTCTATATGATTTGACACTGTCAATTATCACCTTAATTTATTATTAAATGAAAATATGTAAATGTTCTGTGTTTTTGTGCTGGTGTTTATTGTAATGATGTATGGTTTGATGACCAGATGTTTGACTGAGGATATCTGAGGATTCTGCAAGGACAAGTGAGCCTATGTCATGGTTTGCATCTGGTGTCTACTTCTAACTTGAAACAACTTCTCAATATCCAAAAGGCCCAGGGTCAGGATATTGAGACTGTAGCATATAGGGTTGAAAGGATACCAAGTTTACTCAAATTAGGTATCTTCACCCTCTTTGAAAGTCACAGGATCTAATGTTTTGAAATATTTGAATGACTTCTTTTCAATGAGCAATAGGCCTTGGATCATATTATAATATAGTATCATGCTTGGGAAGTGGGCTCTCAGGTTTGCATAAGTTGATTTCACCTATGAAGTCTCTTCTTGAAGCCACAGATAGAACAGGCTAGTGATTCAGGTCCATTGAACATCTTGTTTTGTATTTTATCCTTTTCCACACAGATGTAACACATTGGCAAAGGCTATGCATGTTAGTTCACTTCAAATTTCCACCTGCATTTTAAAATCCTATGTTTACATACAGACATTTTGTTCTACGATACATCAGTGATGCTGCTGTCAAAAACTGTGGCAACGTAGTAGATGAATGTTACCTATCCACTTCGTGCCTCGTGGCACATAAGGCCTTCACAGACGCTTCCATCTCTGCTGGTCTGTTGCCACTGTCTGCACCTCGTTCCAGGATTTCCAGCCTGCTTCTTCTCTCTCTCTTTCCACTGTTCTTCTCCACGTCATCTTCGGTCTTCCTCTTTTCCATTTCCCTTCTGGGGCCCAGGTTAAGGCAACATTGCAGTCGTTGTTTCTGTCCTGTCTCAATATGTGTCCAATCATTTTCCATCTGCGCCATTTTATCTCCTGGCTAATTGGCCTCATTCTCGCTCTTTCCAATATTTCTTCCGTCTTTGTGTGTTCTTGCCATTGTGTTTTGAGAATTCTCCTGAGGCACTTGTTGTGGAAAACATCTACCATCCGATCATCACCCTTATTCATTTTCCACGTTTCACATCCATATAGTAGGACAGGTATTACTAATGCCTTGTACAGTTTCAATTTTGTTTTCCTTGAGATGTTGCTTAAGTTCCATACATGCTTGAGCCGGCTAAATGCTCCCCTGGCTTTTGAAAGTCTGTTCTTAATGTCTTTTATTCCACCACCTTCTTTGCACACTGTTGCTCCTAGGTATGTGAACTGCTCTACATCCTTGATGTCCATACCTCTTAGTTTGATGGTACTTTCGTTCGTGCATTGATTTTCATCACTTTAGTTTTATCTTTGTTGATCTTAAGTCCGACTCTGCTTGCTTCTTCATCAAGTCTTGTGGTTTTGTCTTGTATCTGTTGTCTAGTTCAGGAGAATAAGGAGATATCATCTGTGAAATCTAAATCCTCCATTTTTGTTGTCAAGCTCCATCTAATGCCGTTCTCGCCGTTTCCAACTGCTTTCCTTATCACCCAGTCCATAATTACCAAGAAGATAAATCCGGACATATTGCACTGTTGTTTTACTCCTGTCTTGATGTTAAACCATTCTCCTGTCTCTCCTTGGTTTTCCACTGCACACTGGAAATCTTCATAAAATAACCGTACTATGCTTACGATCTTGTCTGATACCCTATATTTCCTCATGATGGTCCACCGGCTTTCACGATGGATGGAGTCAAAAGCTTTTTCAAAATCTATAAAGTTCAAATATAATGTAGCCTGCCACTCGTTCACTTGCTCTATGATGTTCCTAAGTATAAAGACCTGCTGCGTCGTGCTCCTTCCCTTTCTATATCCTGCCTGTTCTTTCCTTAGCCTGATATCGATTCCTTCTCTTATGCGATCGATTATGATCCTTCCAAGCAATTTTCCTACTACTGACAGCAAAGTGATTCCTCTTGAGTTCTTGCATTCCTTTAGGTTTCCCTTTATTGGTAACTTCATGATGAGCCCTTTCTTCCAGCTATCTGGAATTTGTTCTTCTCTCCATATTGCTTCCATTAGCTCATGGATTTTTGTACTTGAAAAGTTTGTATCTGCCTTTATCAACTCTGCCGTGATTGAATCTATTCCTGGTGACTCTCCATTCCTCAACTTCTTGATAGCCCTCTGCACTTCTTCTATTGATGGCATGTCGACTGAAATTTCTTCAAATATATCATCTAATTCTACTTCATCATCTTCTGTAATGGGATCCTGTGGTTTCCAGTGTTCTGTCCATCTTGATAACGCCTCTGCTTTGCCACTAATGAGGTTGCCGTTCTTGTCCAATACCGCTGTACTATCCTAGGTCTTTCATTGCAGAGTGTCTTTGTAAGACTATACAAATGTTTCATGTGCTGACTCCTTGCTGCCTCTTCAGCGTCACTCACGATGGTGTCTATCCATTTCTTCTTGTTTGTTATCAGACTTCTTTTGACTTCTCTGTCTTTAACCTTGTGCTGCTCTTTTAACTGTCCTTTAACCCTCTCTGAGTGTGTACACAATTTTTTCTTGTTTATTTCTCCTCTTTCATCTGCTAGTTTCCATGAGGTTTCACTGATCCATGGTTTCTTCTTCTTCCTAGGTCTACTCAATAGCTCTTTTGCTGTCTCTGTGTATGTCTTCTGGATTACACTGAACTTTCTCTATACCTCGTCCTCTTTCTATCAAAGTCCTCGTTATCCAATACATGAAACCTATTTCTTACTGCAATGTTAAACCTTCTCACTGTATCCGCATCCTTCAACTTCTCTATGTCGTACTTTACCCTCTCACACCTTTTCTCTTTACACTGCTTCCTTAGCCTCAATTTGACTGTTGTGCACACAAGCAGATGATCCCTCCCGATGTCTGCCGATCTGAATACTCTAGTATCCTTAACTGAATTCCTAAAACGCCTGTTGACTGACACATGATCTATCTGATTCCTGGTGGTTCCATTTGGTGAGATCCATGTTTCTTTGTGGATGTTTTTATGTGGGAATAAGGTTCCTGTAATAACTAATTCGTTGAGGTCGCACATTTCACACAGCCTTTCACCATTGTCGTTCCTCACCCCGAGCCCATGTCTCCCTATGATTCTTTCGTAGTGCTTGTTGTCGCTTCCCACTTTGGCATTCATATCAACATGTCATGCCGGTTTCTTCTTTCCAGTACCTCTTGTAGTCTTGCATAAAACTCATCTTTCACTTGATCTTCTGCATCTTCTGTAGGTGTGTATATGTGCACAAGCGTCAGCTTGATTTGCTTTGAGAAAAACCTTGCTAGGATGATCCTTTCGTTTACTGGTGTCCAATCTATCAGCGCACTTGATGCTTTCTTTGACATAAGTATGGCAACACATTCTCTGTGGATGTTATCGTCCCTTCCGGAGTAGATGATTGTCTCTCCTTCTGCTATCTGGATTTTCCCTCGTCCGGTCCAATGAGTTTCACTAATGATATCTGTATCTCTTCTTGTCATTTCTCTGGCAACCTGTGCTACATTGCCACTTTGGTAAAGTGTACGTACGTTCCAGTTGCAGATCTTCATTGTAGATTTTGGGTGTACTAATGGCCTGGTGGTGCTAGAGGGTTTCCTCTTGGCTTTCGCCCTCTTGCATCATGGAGTCTCCTCTGATCGGAGGCAAGGCCGTAGCATTCCCTGGATTTTATGGATTTGTTCTGCTTTCGGTTTCTGTAATAAGTTTATTTTTTAAGGAGAGGGTTATTAGCCCTCTGCCCAACCCCCTACCCCTCGACCTGTCCGACATGGGTGGCCCTACCAGGAGCATTATGTACTCCCGCCGGCAAAGCTCTTAGGGTCAAAGGTGCGCACAAACTGCCCCAGTTAGTTCACACATGTCCAGGTAAACCACAGGGGTTCTCAGTTGGTATTTTACAGGCGCGTCCTTCGAAATAACTGACCATATGCACACATATAATAAAAGGTGAATTTTTATTCATAAGCTATCGTTGAAATGAATTGTAACATTCTGATTTTAATAATCATCATTGAAGGTGGTTATTTTTTGTTTGTGGTTTTGAACATGGATATTGATGCTATCACGGATTCAAATACGAAATGAGTCCGACATGTTATGTACCGCTGAAAGACAGAAAGGTCGTAATAGTGGACGTAAAACCCGTTAATAAATAATAAAAAAAAAATAAGGACGGTGGGTGTGTCTCTGCCCCAGAAGGAAGCCTCAAACGTTACTACCTTCTTCAGTAAAAAACAAAAGAGTTAGATACAGTAAAGCCAAGTAATGAATTAAATCCTACTAGAGGTGACTATTGCAAATCGAAAGACACTGGACGATTGTCTCTTGAGTTAAACTTCCAGTGTAAATTCTATAAGCATAATAAAAAGTTTAAGAGACAGACAGTGTTTAATTTTCTTTTTAGACAGAAACATTGACATTTCAATTCTTCTTCTTCTTCTTCATCATCATCATCATCATCTATATAAGGGAGATCACACGATATTTTCTACATTGTTTCGAAAGGAAACATTTAAATATGAAACAATTAAATCTCTTACATCGTCTCCATTCACTAAAACGTCAGAGTTTGCTATCTGATCAGTTGTAACTTTGTTTGTGATAATGCGGGAGAGGGCTTTACATAATTCAATTACTAACTAGAATTTCCCCAGATGCTACACTCACCTGAGATTGTAAATGATGTTGAGAACTACAATAATGTCAAGCTTCATCAAAACGTCTATTATGTTTTTATTTAAACAGACCCATATCACTCCACTACTCGGCAAATTAGCGGATTTTAGCCATGTAGACATCCGTTCAGCATCAAATGTCGTAATATGTTATTTATTTCTCCGTATTGGCGACAAATATTTTCCTTAACATACAGTTGTGGGATCGCACAACGTTATACGAAATAAACTATCGCACATGTTCTACCGCACATATGTGCGATTCTATGATAGCCGATATACATTTTTTAATGACATAGACACATGTGGGATAGACTTTATTTATTTTCTAAATACATAAGAGTACAGCTAAGTTTATCATTTCCATAGTGTCGCACGTGATCAAATACATTATATATGTAAACAGTCTGTCCCCGCAATGAACCATCTAAAATCTCATACAGTCAGAAAGGAAATCTTTCATTTCTTCTGTATTACTCTCATTTTTCTATCATTTTGTAAATAAAAATATGAACGCATAATTGACTTATTGATTGCTATTTATAAATGTAAGTCATAAATCTTATTGAGCAATAAAATGTACGAGTTCAATGAATTCGAGATTTGCTCTGTACTATGTATTGATACTGAATAGAATCATGGCCACAGTAGAGAAAAATGTCTTTTAAAAAATGCTATGGTCAATCAATTTCTAATCATTGTCATTCTTTCCTTTAGTGCACTGGGTTACTTTAAAATAAAGTTAACTGTAGGTGTTGTAGATCCCTTCTGATCCGATTCCTTGATCAAGAGTTTTCAGTTGTTAATTTTCAAATTTAAAATGATACAGTAATAATCAATTGTTCTGTTCAAATGTATTTTCAAACTCTAAGTCTCCTTAATTGTAGTTTTATTTATTTTAACCAAATCCAGAGGTGTCTTTATCATAAGCCCCTGACCAAATCATGATTTCTTCGTATATTGACTAAACTAATATGTGTAATCATTCAGGACATAGAGTCAGACAATGAGAAATTCTACCTCTGCATCTACGTGTCTACCACTTGATAAACGCTAAGTGGGCGTAACCCATGATATCCCATAGAAATAGCTGCGTATTCACTTTCAGATATATTGATGACGTCTTGTCTTTAAATAACAAGAAATTTATTGACACAACCTTCATATATACCCACCAAATTTGGAAATCAAGGACACGACAGATTCTTCTACGCCAGCAGTTTATTGCGATCAGTTCCTACAATGAAACCAACATGGACAGCTTTCCACCTAGCTCTATGATTCAATTTCCCCAATGCGAATTTTCTATTTCTGGATATCACTATACCTGCGTCCCCAACGTCACAGTTGATTCGATCGATATTCGAGGATCTGCTCCCATTATCAAGATTTTCGTACAAGATGTCGTCAAGCGACGGACAAACTCATAACGCTAAGTTTCAAAAGATGCAGGTTGATGACCATTTTTTGCTATCGCTATTTCTCAAGAAAAAATACTGGACGGGTCTTCCTCAAATCTTATATGTAGATTCCTCTAGGACCCTAATCGTGTCCGTTTGATTTTGGGACTAGTCGGAAAAATGAAATGTTGAAAGGCCTCCTTGGATTTGGCAGTTATTATTATTATCGCTATTTCTTGCGAGGAATTTTTCAATGTCTTACAATTAAAAGCAAACACAGAGGAAATGAGATAAAGGAAGGGACACTATCTTATTTTTCAATAATCAGAATTAAAAAAAAACAAACAATGTTGGGCGTCAAGGGCTCTCTAGGATTTCTGCTTTTTTTTCTTTGCGAAAATGAAACGATACATTCTTTGAATTTCATTTTAACCATTTTAAAGTCTTCATAAATAATACGTAACCTGGTTTCAATTTTTACCAGTTGAGAATATTTTATAAAAGCAAGCACGCAGTTGGAGGCCATGACATTTCGGTGTAGGGTTCTGTATTGTTTCAACATCAAATGAGAACAAAAACAAAACTATGTGCCATACATGTATATGAGCATATTACATATATACGTTGTCGTGCTTCGTAATGTATATACATACGTCACATTCATGTATATATAAACATACAGTTGTACGATGGATATACAATACACGTGTTGTACTTATACATTAAAGAACTGTGATAACAAATACGGGTCAAGATTTTTCAGTGAAAATAGTTATACATCTTTTTATTGTCTTCAAACATTTAATTAGTTTACAACGCGTAAATAAATAAATCTATATGAAATCCCCTTCTTGAAAAGTACGCCTCGTCGACTGTCTAGTCATGTCTACAAAACAGTGAAATACCAGGTTTAGTCCTCGAAATAAATCACTTTCAATTAGACCAGGCTATAGAGAACTGTCTCGACTATTTCTCGAGAAGAGCGTGGTTTTTTTTAAAGCCTTCCTTTTGTTCCGGATTTTGAGTTCTAGTGAACTACTAATTTTAGATCACATAAACGCGACATCTTGAAAGCGTTTGTAATCAAAGTAATTGTTGCTGGGTTTTCTTCTGGAACAAACTGGAACATTATGACAGGAAAATGTTTAAAGGGAAGAAAGTATCATCTCCGAAACAAAACGTTAATTCAATTATTTGAAAATTGCTAAGATCATGGCTACCAGCAGACTCACGGAAATGTCACAAACGGTATGTCATTCGATAAACAAATGATACAAATCTAGCAGATCGACGGATTCTTATTTACGTTTCAACACCTTCGCTATACTGATTTCACTGATCTGCCATTTGTTACCAGAAATGGCGTATCAAGCTGAAGCATGCACTGTATTTTTCGCTCATAGATATTCTTTCCTCATTTTGTTTTACTATGTTACTATAAGTTAGCTAAATAAAGCCATATTAATATACACTGGACTAACTAACGGTCCTCGGTTTCTTCCTGTAAATGCCTTTCACCTGTACAATACAGTATCTGTGTATTTGAGTCTGTACTGACTGTTAAGACTAGTATTTGATTGTAAATTATTATTCAATTAAGTAATTACTGTATTTTGTTAGTACGGATTCACAACATCAAATTTAAATTATTGAATAATTTCTAGTGTTGTTTTAGTTTTAGAATACATGCCGAAAACTTCAAAGGGGGATTTGCCCTGGCCTCCACCATGACTAGCTCTTACATCTCCTGCCTACGTAATTTCATAAGCAATTTTCTTTACCACTGACCAGTCACCACTAAATATGAGGAGATTGGAATACTTTTTTTTATTTTCAAGGCGAAGACTGTGAAAGACAGAGTAAAACTTTCATTACCTTTTTGTATACATTTCAGGTGTCACACCATGCAGTGCAGAAAGAGAAAGATTCTAAGGAAGTGAAATCTATGGCCATTTTGAAAAATGCTACTGTCCATTTTTCTCCCAATTTCTCCCTGCTACAGAGAAACACAAATCTGAATGTACCACCATCAAATTGGTTAAGACAAACCTCTGTAGTGGAGCAGAATATCCATGACTTCACTCAGCATCAAAGTAGCAAATCGTACCTCAGTAGTATAGAGATGGCTGGCAACTCCTTAGATTTGACTGGGGAGGTGGATGTGATTACAAATGCACAGGTACTTATATAAAAATATGTAAAATTGAATAAAATATCTTGCGACACAACCAGTAAAAGATTTAAATGAGATGTTTTGGTGACTTCACGGTCACCTTCATCAGACAAATACCTGGTTGTCTTAAAAGATCTTTTATCTAGTAACATTACGAATCTGAAGAAAAATGCTCTGATATGTTTGTAAAATGTATAAATGTAGGAGATGTGAAATGGGTTGATCTTTAGCAGAAACTATTTCTGATTTCTGTCATGTGGGAGAAGCTCTGTTGGAATCCTGGTCATACTGGTTGGAAACTAGTTAGTTGGCACATATACACTGTAATAACATATGGTCTAAACAGAGATGTGGCTTTGTTGAAGATTGCTGTTTATTTCCTTTATGCCTTTATCATAACATGTACATTCATGCATATTAGCCAAGTCCAAAAATCTATAATTATTTTAAATCACTTTCAAAAATGAGTTTACATTTATGAATTTGTTATACATTTATTGTAGTTTGTTTTCATAGAGAAAACAAAGATAACAAATATTTTTTACATTTTAGAACATTAAGAAACTGCTAAAGATTCCCTTTAGTCGCTCACACATTAGTATGATGGTGCACAGGATTGGGAAGTCACTGCTGCTTGATGAGTTTGATATACACAAACACTTGCTTCGTCAACAACAGGTAATTATAGATATAATCTTAACCTGATGTAATGAAATCATTCATAATCAAATAAAGTCTGCACTTCCCCAACCCCAAATGGAAGTTCCCAACAAAAATCCATGTTTAATACAATAAATACAGTATAAAGTGCATTGTAAAGTATGCTGATTGTGACCAGAAATCATCATTTTTATGGTTCAGTGGTGTATGTTTTTTATACCAAACAGGAAACATCACAGTTAGGATTCATTAGTGAATTTGGTGTTTGTTAAACGTTTGTTTAAACAATTTCTTGTATAGTGCAGGATATGTGATAAATTGATATGGCCCTGCTTCAAAGTAAACTTGTTTTACCCTAATATAGGATATTTTAAGAATTGTGGTTAAAACAATGAACCAAAGAAGCTTATATTTATATTGTTTATTTACACAGGATGACTGGAAATGGCTACGAGAGTTCTACTATGATTGTGTTGCCAGAGATATGCAAGTGAGCAAAATGTCTTGATGCCTGTTGGTAATTGTAAAGGCTAATACTTGTAGCAGGAAGTCATTTCCATGTGGCTTTCTGTGTGTTTTCCATTTTTTCCTGTGAATGAATTTGCTTATAAGCGATTAGACCAACTTAAATGTATGCGAGATATAAATACAGGGTAGTTATTAAAACAATATTTTCTAAAGTGTTCTGAAATAATCAGTTCATTAGATACGAGTGTTCTTTCATCGTGACGACAGATTGCATGTGAATTGTTTCCTTATTAAATATAGTTATGTCATGGTTACATATTTGTAAGAGAATGAGTAGTGTTGGACAATTTATTTCTATTACATTTTCAGATGAAATGTGTTCCGAGGAAAGATAAAAGTCGCCACAAACAACAGACAAGGAATATGTATTCCAAGTTTCTCTACCACAGGTACAATAATATGTATTGTTTTCAAATGACATTACATCACATCAAATGCATTAGGTGAAGACAGATGAAGCAAAGTACAGTAAAGCATTGTTCTGTATCCAACAGTAGACAATTAACAAATTATCATATCTTTACAAGAATACAACATGTCATATTGGAAAGGAATTAATGAAAATGTTAGCAGTATGCAGTGCTGAGATAGGCTGTCCTTAACCTAAATATAAGTCATTACCCAGTACCTGTATGTCATACCAATATCAGAGAATTATTGAGAGTTGATCAATATTTTTTGTGTTACTTAGGCCAAGCAAAAATTTATGTGTTCTGTGTTTCCTATAACATGTTTGAAAAAAAATAGGGTAGGTAGAGAGACAAAAGGATATATTTTAACAAATAATCATGTACGGTTTTTATAGGAGAGAGATCTTGATTTTAGCAAGGTGAGGGGTATATAACATTTACTTTGTGTATTCCTATGTCTAAAGGTTGTGTTCAAGATATCTCATGGTCACCTGGATGGATTTAATCTGTCTTCACATCATAAAATCACATGTACATTATCAAGTTGTACACCTAATAAGAATTGGTTGGTTGGTTGACAGGTTTTCCGTCTCTGTGACTCCTCTCGTGTCTGGGTATTGTCTCACCATTGAACCTCAGTGTTATTGCTATGTGCTGATAAGAATAGTTGGTTGTTGGTCAAGGTTAAAAGTCAAAGGTCACACTTGACCTCATTTAAAATAAATGCACTAAGCATATTTAATTAAGATAAAAAGATAAAGGAATGGTGGTGTGGAGTGTGGGGGTATATCTAAATGAGCCTCTATTATAAACATATTATACTAACAAATTATTAAATATTGTATAACACAACATTATTTTAGCTATTATTTTCTGTTTTAGTATTGCTGATGCCAATCCAGGCGAGAACATTGAGAGAGAATTTCCTGTTACACAGGTCTTTGAGAAATTGGAAGAGAAAGAACTGAAGCTGATACATGAAAACCCATCTGAGGTATTTTTATTTTATATATCAAATTCACAAGGCAAACAATGATCTTGTTCATCTGTAAATTACAATTGTTTTATTGCTGTTAAATCAAAATTTTTATTGAAAAAAAACTATGTTAGCAAGATTTAGTATTCAAACGGGAAGGGGGATGCAAAACAATATCCTACCATCATTGAGATTTTTTTTACTAACTTTTTCTATATCCTTTAAAACCTTCAGTTTTGAAGTTTGTTACTCTGAAATGTGTGACATTTGTGTTGCAGAATCCCAGTGCTGACTTTCACAAGGAAGTCTTGTGGATGTTTGAGGATATCAGAATGCTTATTGGAACAGACCTTCCTATATTTTGTGGTAACAACTACCCCTGCATAAGTCTGAAACTCAGGTATGACATCTGAATCAGAATTACCTCATGTATTATTTAATCTAAGGCAAAGAAGGTACTGTGGTTATGGGTGTTCCTTATACCTCCAAACGAGGGTACAAAATTACCCAACCTGTTGAAGTTCAAGACTTTTACACCCAGTTGTCAAACACTCTCCTGTATATATACATTATAAGGGGTGCATTGTTTCACAGGGCAATGGGTAACACTGGGTAACTGGATGTATCTTTTTCACATATATAGGTCCCCCTTGGTCTCTAGTTGTGCATGTTGGAATTTGGGACTGACCAGAGAGACAAAATAACTACAAGAGGTCATTTTGGATTATGACGATGGAAGTTTGTTATCGCTATTTCTTGAGAAGTATTGGATGGATCTTTCTCCCACTTCACATGTATGTTTCCCATGTTATAACTGGTATCTCCAGAATGCTTGAGTTGCCTTCCATCTAAATTGGTTTTAAGAATCTGTACATGAAGACCACTAAATTTGATATAAGTGAAGGTTGGAAAGGCTAGTGGGGACCTGATATTGGGGAAATAGAGATAAATGTTTGAAATCCATCATGTTTCTGTTGTGTTAATGAAGGAAGTTGGTCTTGCATAGTCAGAGGCTTTGTTTATGACTCAATTTTGCATTTATAATGGATGGTCTAACACCACTGAGATGCTGAGGGACCTAAAGAGAAAATAAAGGAAATTAAGGGTAAATCTTAAAATTTTTTAGAATTCAAGGGCTCTGTATTCATGGTAGTTCTTGTCTCCTGGCCATAGCGATCAGTGGAATCAATTAAATCTTTAATGTCTTTTTACTTCTAATAAAGTAGATAGAATTTTATCAAATTCGTCTGAAGTTGTATGGATGAAGGGGACTCAATATGAATGGAGAGTTTCGCCTGAAGGCAGAGAAGTGAGGCCAGAGAGGGAATGTACAGATCAGATATAAAAGTTCAGTTTCAACTCAATATGCAGTGAATGAATTTTAGAACTAGGCAATAAAATACTATATGTCTAAAAAAATTATGCTTTTCCTAGCAATACTGAAAGTTAGATCCAAGATTGGGAAGTCTTTGTGATATGTTGTCAGAGAAACTCCGGTGAGCAATATGCTTTAGGTAAATACAGATCATTTTACTTGGCTTTGAATATGTAAGTTTCTTATTGTTGAAAACGGTTTAGAAGATAGATCTAAATTTGTTTGTTTATTGCTTTGATCAGTTTGAAAACATTAAATTTGTGGCTATGTCACTGATATATCATTGTGAATTTGCTATGACCTACTTTGTTATTTTGCTGACCAGGGACATGAGGACACCAATCAATGTGTTAACTGGTCTGGACTACTGGCTTGATAATCTGATGTGTAATGTTCCAGAGGTGGCCATGTGCTTCCATCTTAATGGAATTGTGCAGGTAAGAACCTTTCATTTCATGACTTTTTTAAAATGGAAAGTAGAGATCATGTCCCAGTTTCTCAAAGGCTGGTCAGAGTTTATCAATGATTTAGTGGAAAATTGTTGTCACTGAAAAATCATTTGCCTTCAAAGCAAAATTGACAGCTTAGAAATATTAATCTGACTTATATTAACAATCCTACAGCAGTGCAATATGAAACAATCTTGTCATTTTTGTTTGATTTGTACCTAGAATTTTTCACTAACCATTGCTTAAATCTAATCAAGCTTTGAGCAAATGGAGCTTGAATATACTGAAAGTATACTTGGGAAAATGCTGACAAACACCTAAAGTCTCCTTGGTGCCCTCCTCCTCATCCATGAGGAGGAGTCAGCCAGCAGTTAGTGGATTGTATATTCTCATATGCACCTGTCTGTGATAATTTCTCCCTTCTTTGGTTAAAATCTAACAAGTGGTCTGTCATTTGTCTGTTGTCTGTCATTATCAAACATCATCAGATGGTAGGCTATTTATGCTCTACATCTGTCTTACTTTAAGGATATTCCTCAAACTTCACATGCAGGTTCCCCTTGGTTCCTAGTTGTGCCCTTATAATTTGAAAACTGATCAGCAATTTTACTTGGCTGACAGGTATCATTCCAACAAATTACAAAACCATGAAATATTCTCACATGTTTTGTGATAATCCATCATAAAATGTTGAACCAAAAAAAAAATTCTCAAACAAGTACATTTCATAAACTAAGAATTCTTAAATTTCAGAGATATGAGCTTATCAAAACAGAGGATATTCCAAATATGGAGGATTCTCGATTTAATCCTCAGGAGGTGACAGAAATTGCCCGAAACATTCTATCATTCCTGAAGGCCAATGCCACCAAAGAAGGCCACACCTACTGGCTTTACAAAGGTATTTTCTTAAGTTACAGCTAAGATTTGTATAGAGGTGGCATATTATATAACAGAATGTTTATCTAATTAGTTTTAACGATATATAAAAGAAATCATAAACCATCTCCTCATCTCTGTTATCTCCTTTATTTATGATCAGTCTCAAGGGGAAAATATCTTTAATTTAAGAAAAGACCATGGAAAGCCATTCACAGAACTTATTTAGTTATTGTGTATGTTGTTTATAACCAGAATTTGTGGAAGTAGATTTCTAACTTAAAAAGACATTGTCATATAATTTGAGATTGGGTGTACCTGTAATACTTGAATTGCGTGGTCATATAAGTTTCATATAAAATGGCCACTATACCAAAACTACTATCTGCAACTGAATCATATGGAATTGATGGAAGGGAGATAGTCATTCTGTCACTGATATCTCTCTCTCCAGCCTAAATCTGTCAATAATTACTGTCAGTAGCTGAACCATATAGAATTGTTGATAGAGAAATCCTCATTCTGTCACTGATATCTCTCTCTCCAGCCTACATCTGTCAATAATTACTGTCAGTAACTGAACCATATAGAATTGTTGATAGAGAAATCCTCATTCTGTCACTGATATCTCTCTCCCCAGCCTAAATCTGTCAATAATTACTGTCAGTAACTGAACCACATGGTATTGTTGATAGTGAGATCTTCATTCTGTCACTGATATCTCTCTCCCCAGCCTATATCTGTCAATAATTACTGTCAGTTGCTGAACCATATAGAATTGTTGATAGAGAAATCCTCATTCTGTCACTGATATCTCTCTCCCCAGCCTACATCTGTCAATAATTACTGTCAGTAGCTGAACCATATAGAATTGTTGATAGAGAAATCCTCATTCTGTCTCTAATATCTCTCTCCCCAGCCTAAATCTGTCAATAATTACTGTCAGTAGCTGAACCATATAGAATTGTTGATAGAGAAATCCTCATTCTGTCTCTAATATCTCTCTCCCCAGCCTAAATCTGTCAATAATTACTGTCAGTAGCTGAACCATATAGAATTGTTGATAGAGAAATCCTCATTCTGTCACTGATATCTCTCTCCCCAGCCTACATCTGTCAATAATTACTGTCAGTAGCTGAACCATATAGAATTGTTGATAGAGAAATCCTCATTCTGTCACTGATATCTCTCTCCCCAGCCTAAATCTGTCAATAATTACTGTCAGTAACTGAACCATATGGTATTGTTGAAAGTGAGATCCTCATTCTGTCTCTGATATCTCTCTCCCCAGCCTACATCTGTCAATAATTACTGACTATAGCTGAACCATATAGAATTGTTGAAAGTGAGATCCTCATTCTGTCACTGATATCTCTCTCCCCAGCCTACATCTGTCAATAATTACTGACTATAGCTGAACCATATAGAATTGTTGATAGAGAAATCCTCATTCTGTCACTGATATCTCTCTCCCCAGCCTACATCTGTCAATAATTACTGACTATAGCTGAACCATATAGAATTGTTGATAGAGAAATCCTCATTCTGTCACTGATATCTCTCTCCCCAGCCTACATCTGTCAATAATTACTGACTATAGCTGAACCATATAGAATTGTTGATAGAGAAATCCTCATTCTGTCACTGATATCTTTCTCCCCAGCCTACATCTGTCAATAATTACTGTCAGTAGCTGAACCATATAGAATTGTTGATAGAGAAATCCTCATTCTGTCACTGATATCTTTCTCCCCAGCCTACATCTGTCAATAATTACTGTCAGTAGCTGAACCATATAGAATTGTTGATAGAGAAATCCTCATTCTGTCTCTAATATCTCTCTCCCCAGCCTAAATCTGTCAATAATTACTGACTATAGCTGAACCATATAGAATTGTTGATAGAGAAATCCTCATTCTGTCACTGATATCTCTCTCCCCAGCCTACATCTGTCAATAATTACTGTCAGTAACTGAACCATATAGAATTGTTGATAGAGAAATCCTCATTCTGTCTCTAAAATCTCTCTCCCCAGCCTAAATCTGTCAATAATTACTGTCAGTAGCTGAACCATATGGTATTGTTGATAGTGAGATCTTCATTCTGTCACTGATATCTCTCTCCCCAGCCTACATCTGTCAATAATTACTGACTATAGCTGAACCATATAGAATTGTTGATAGAGAAATCCTCATTCTGTCACTAATATCTCTCTCCCCAGCCTACATCTGTCAATAATTACTGACTATAGCTGAACCATATAGAATTGTTGATAGAGAAATCCTCATTCTGTCACTAATATCTCTCTCCCCAGCCTACATCTGTCAATAATTACTGACTATAGCTGAACCATATAGAATTGTTGATAGAGAAATCCTCATTCTGTCACTAATATCTCTCTCCCCAGCCTAAATCTGTCAATAATTGCTTCATTAGCTTAACAAGATCACACCCTTTCTATTTGATAGGTAATGATGATGACGTGGTGAAGTTGTATGACCTGACAGCCCTATGTGGTGACAACATGGAAGGATCAAATCCATTTACAGTACCACTGGGCATGTTGCTGTATCGAGTAGCACGCAACCTGCGACAGCAACATCAGAGGAAAAAAGCTCCAACAGTCAGGACTCTTTTAGAAAATTGTCTACTTCTTTTGATGGATGACAAGCATTCACAGGTTAATACAAATTAATGTCAATGATTAAGATCGTGCTATGATCACACCCAAAATCATGATTGCTGTTTACAGTTTTATTTCTCATGAAAGCAAATGGGTGTGTATGAAAAGAAAAGTGTTTTTAGTGTAATTTTGTTACTGGTATAAAATGTTTGATAAAAAGTTAATAAAAAGATTAGTTATTGTCTGTAAGCTAGAAATTTGTAATGATCTTTAAGAGATCTGTATTGATTTATAGAGAGATAGCATGTATTGTTACACATGTACATCTCTCTATCACTTCCCTTCCCTTAATGTTCTGATACAATATCATATCTTCAGAACCTCTCAACAAGTGTTAATACATGTTATGATTCTCAACATTTACTGCTGTGTACCTTAACCTACTATTTGTTATCTGACCTGTATGTACCTGACAGTGTTGTGATAGACATTATGAGCATTTTACAGGTGTGCACCTCGGCCTACTATTTGTTATCTGACCTGTATGTACCTGACTGTATTGTGACAGACATTATGAACATTTTACAGGTGTGCACCTCGGCTTACTATTTGTTATCTGACCTGTATGTACCTGACTGTATTGTGATAGACATTATGAACATTTTACAGGTGTGCACCTCGGCGTACTATTTGTTATCTGACCTGTATGTACCTGACAGTGTTGTGAAGGACAATGAGTGGGAGAACTCTGACGTTGGAGAATTGGATGAGGAGATGTATGATAACGAGTCATGTCAGGTAAGTCATGTTTTTAAGATAAAACTTGTGGCAGGTTAGTAGAATACTTATACAAGACATGGTAGAAAAAGAAAAGCTGATTTTAAAATTACACACAAATTTTATGTTTCCTGGTACCACAAGGGCCATGCGATACATTCTACCATTAGTTTTATTAGCTCACCTGGCCCAAAGGGCCAAGTGAGCTTATGCCATATCGCGACGTCTGTCGTCCATCCGTTGTCCGGCGTCCGTCCGTCCTGCGTCCGTCAACTTTTCATATAAACGACTTCTTCCAAAATACCGAAAGGCGTAGAATCATTATATTTGGCTGGAAGGTTCCTTTGATGAAGCCCAACTAAGTTTGCAAAAAGAAATTACCTTTACCCATATTCAAGGTCACAGGTCAAATGTGTTAAAACCTTTAAACAACTTCTCCCCAAATACCGGAAGGCCTAGAATCATTATATTAGGCTACTATGTTCCTCTTATGCTGTCCTACAAAATTTTGTTAAAAGAAATTACCTTGACCAATCTTCAAGGTCACAGGGGTCAAATGTGTTAAAACATTTAAACAATTTCTTGTGAAATATAGAAAAGCCTAGAATCATTTTATTTGGCCAGTATGTTCCTTTTATTAAGTCCAAGAAAATTTGCAAAAAACCTTGCCCGATAGTCAAGGTCACAGGGGTCAAATGTGTTAAACCTTTAAATTACATTTTCTGATTATCCAAAACATCTGAGATAGTGATATTATTCCAAAATAGGTTCTCAATGATGCCCGGTAATATTTGAGAACAGAAATGACCTTAATCCATATTCAAGGTCACAACAGTCAAATGTGTTAGGATCATAATATTTGTCCAAATGGTTCCCTTCATGGTGCCCACATAGTGTGTTAAAAAATAGCTTGACCCATAATGATATTTAAGGTCATTGGGGTTAGATTTGGTAAAATAGTTAATCAACTTCTTCTGCTTAACCAATAACCCATCATATTTGGCCATTAAAGGCTTATATACAAATGACTTATTTTGGACTACTAAGGGACAGAACCCATATGGAGTAATTTGTCATATTGCTTTAAGCATCTACTGTGGAACATATGCACAGATATTGTACAGTTGGTCATAAAGATACAGGTGAGCGATACAGACCCTTTGGGCCTCTTGTATATCTGTCTAACATGCTGCTGGTTTTGGGTCTCTAAATAATAAATTTTATAGTAATTGAACCTCTGCTCCATTGAGTGACCTTCATAGGCAGATTTAACTATATGTCTAGCATTGAGCCACTTATTCAGGTTAATATTCCAATAATGAACTGTTCCCTCTGAAAACCCTAATTGTAAGGAATTCAGTATTAGGGAAGGTGCAAATTAAGGATAGTTATAAGAAAAGATGGACCTAGACAAAACCAAGTGTACTTATTTATCATGGTATGTATTGGGTTTAAGGAGGAGAAGGAAGAACCAGAAAACTCTACACAGTCCTTGGATGTCAAGAACTTATCCAACAGAAACCAAGAAAACAGGAAACGGAATGATCAGGACATCACTAAAGTGCGACCAATAGTTGGAGGTGTAACAGAAAAGTGTGGGGAAGCTCTCCATAACATACACAAGGTAGGTCTAAAGTAGCCCATCAAATTGCACCAATAGTTGGAGGTGTAACAGAAAAGTGTGGGGAAGCTCTCCATAACATACACAAGGTAGGTCTAAAGTAGCCCATCAAATTGCACCAATAGTTGGAGGTGTAACAGAAAAGTGTGGGGAAGCTCTCCATAACATACACAAGGTATCTAAAAATCAAATTGCACCAATAGTTGGAGGTGTAACAGAAAAGTGTGGGGAAGCTCTCCATAACATACACAAGGTAGGTCTAAAGTAGCCCATCAAAAATCATTCCAGTCAATGAAATACTGTAACATTTCAGTCTGAGCATTTGAAAAAGCATTCATAAACATGTTATTACAGGACATGTTGGGCTTATACAAAGACCACATATTATCTAACACTACTTATTATTTTCATTATACATGTGATAATTAACTGATCACAATTTTGCCAGTGAAATATAGAGAAATATCTCACTGAAAACAAATCCTATTGTTAACAACGCGTGGTAACTTGTCACAGGTTAAACTCTCTTTGATTTTTTTACAGCAAATTTTGTCTCTTAGTGACATGATTAAGTAACGTTTTCTATGTGAACATGAAAATATATTTATAGTGAAATTTATAGTTTTATTCACATATCTTAATGATTAAAAGGGGAAAAAAAGACTATATTTGATCATATACTGTAAAGTTATAATGAGTGAGTAGTGTCCATGAAATGCCTAGTCAGCTTCTCTGTTTTATATCTGTTCTATATATGCCAGGAATTGGGCTATTTTGCTTGTGAAAATATAGTCAATAGAATATTTGATAGTGTCTTAAGTAATAACAAATAACAGTAATATTTCACTTGTGTGTCAAATATTTTTTGTATCTTTCACTTGTGCTGTGCGCTGGTGAAAGATACTAAAATATTAGACATTTGTGAAATATATTTGTTACTACTGAAGACGCTATTAAACATCCTATATTTGTAATGTAAAAAGCATCATTACCAGGAATTTTTCATACCACAAAATGTAATGTTCCTGATAGGAAATATTTTTATGATGACTGATATTGAAATTGACTAAATGATTAATTCCAAGAGAAATATCACTGTTGCAGAGAACTTGCATATATAAACTGTTTGTACCAGATCTACAGTATCATACATTACATATTTCTATTGAACAGGGCCTACAATGTCTTGATCGAGATTTCACTGAGCAAATACGCAAGAGTAAGAATATAGTGGAGGAGCAAGTCTGGTGTGACAGTAATCAGGCAATACCTCTCCATTATGAACCCCTCCAGAAGTCTGCCCCACCCCATAATGAGTCAGAATCCCCTCTCCATGACCTTGATCACCTACAACTGGCTGAGACTGAGTCATCCTGCTCCTGGCACCGCTTGTCTAAAGTCCTGCTACTAAGAAAGGCTGCCATGGCATTCTACTCCTTGGCGAAGTTCTCTCTGTCTTCAAATAAAGCTGGATGTGCCATGCGATACATCAAATCATCCCTGCGCTGCTTCGGTAAGTTTGGCACAAGTTAGTTGAAACTATGTGATTCTTTGTGATTGTGATACATGTTTAACATCTTTTGATTTGTCAAAAAAGACTTAAGCTTTTCCAAATGCAATATCAACTCAGAAATGGCAACCAAATGCATGCAAGGTTATTGTAACAAATACTTCAACCCACTGTAGGAACAAATACTATGGCAGATGTCGATGACACAAAGCCAGCTGCTGTAGCAAGAATATAGTTTACTTCATTAGTGAGGAGAATCTTGTAGACATTTTGATGAAGAAAGAATAAAAAAACACTCAGTGAGTATAGAAGTCTGTTTTATCTTTTCTAGCTGGAGTACGAGTCCTTTTGCCACAGAAGTTTGAGGAGAACAAGGAGTTACTGATGAGCATGCTGGGATTGGTTGGTGATATCATACTAACATTCATCCATGATGGCCAGACATATGAAGATATCAATGTAAACCTTATTGACTACACAGAGGAAGAAATGGGCATCCTGGATAGCGTAGAGCGGGAACTGGACACCTTCGGTATGAATCTGATGTATTAGTCAGGAAATGTATTAGTGTCTGCAGTAATTAAATGATTACAAACTTCATTTTTGATACCTGAGGCTGGTAATTGTATGAGGAATGCATTATCAATATTTATCACGTAACTACTTGTCATCAGTCTAATACTTGCCTATCATACATTTTTTTGGTGTCAAATAAAACATATTTTTTACAGGAATTATTGCAAAGATGTCTTTAAGGTGGTGTAAAATAATTAATTTTTGCGGGGGGATATATTTTTGTTGAATTTAGGGGAACACAATATCCATGCATTTATATGTCCACAAATGCAGAAGCAGATAAAGATTAACATGGAATATAGTAATAGTGAATTTCAAGATTTATTCACAATATTAAGTGCTAACAAAAAGGTTGTTTTTGGACAACCATGAAATTTGAGATTTATGAAAATATGTGATTTTACAGTAGGTGATAAACAGAATTAGTTTTCCATTTTGTAAAAGATTTGATGACTCTCTGAAATAAAAAAAATTCATACTGATTTCCTGATTCTAATAAGAATGGAATCTCAAGAAAGATCCTCTATAAATTCTATGATTCTGTTCTACAATATTTTTATACATTATTTGATCAAACTTGTTTTTTTTTTTCACTGATTAACAGAACACAGCTGGGCGTGTGACCTACGGGGAGAGAAGGAGAAACTCCTTCAGCAATGCTCTGCCTGTTACAAGAATGCCCTTGACCTTGCTACAAGTCAGATGTCACCAGATTCTCAAGCATTTATTGTCACATTACGAAAACGATATGGAAACGTCAAGAATGAAATGGGAGTGTTTTTCATGGGTCAAGCTCAAATCTTCTTGCAGAAATCAGGTAATACATTTTTGGGTAATCTGTGCCTTTAGAAAGTCAAAGCTTACTGTAACATTGGAGATCTGTAGACAGATGGTTGATTGTTTACATGAAAAAAACTTTGACTAAGGACCATGGTTTTACATTGCTAAAAGATGTAATATTACAATATGTAAAGAAAAACCACTTAGGTGATGTTCTGATAAGTTCCTAGTGCAGAGGAAAATATCATAAGTAATTGTTGTAGGGTTATACTCCATTGAACCTACATACACCAAGTCTATCTGAGATCAGGTTCGGGACAAATCAATATAATGATCAATGAATATGCTATCTACTCATTTCTCTGGTTTTCATAAAAACGTTTTGTTTGAGGTTGCGTTTTTTGCTTGTCAAGAATTACACACCACACTTTGTCACATAAACAACATGCTTGAATTTCCATAATTTGCCTGTGCTTTTTATTTGGTTCACATTGAATTAATTGTAGAACATCTTAATGTTAATACTAGTCCATTATGTTCTTCAATATAAAACTTCCTGTTATTGTCCATAGGTGATAAACTGTATATCAAATCTCATCCTTTCTTTTTGACTGATCTGTATAAAGATCAAGATCATCTTAACTTATCATTAATACATGAAGGTAGAGTATCATAAACAGTGTTGATATCACTGTACTAGCATCATTTTGCTTCAACGAATAAAAAAAAAAGATGAAGCATGCATTTCAGGGTCAACAGCCCAAACTTAAAACACTATTCCCTAATTCACTGCAAAATGATGATATGATTTTGGTTTAGGGAAAGTTACCTAGTAAGTGTATATAATTTGAGGATGTACAGGACTGAAGATCAATTTATCCCTCCTGACACTGATTTCTGTTTTACAGACTTCACATCTCCGTGTCATGACATGGATAGCCTTTGTGAGAAAAGCGAGAACTGTCTAACTGAGGGTATCCGCAGCTTTGAACGCGTCTCTGATGCTGCTAACCAGGCGTTGCTTCACTCCAATATGGGACGACTGATGAGGCTGCGTGCTCAGGCTCACACCCAGGTTACCTTACAGGGAGAACGGCCAGAGTTTAGTCAGGAGGAGAGGACATTCTACTGCAAGGTTTGTTATTACTTATCATGCATTGACACCTCCCTCTTTTGGTGTTTAACCTTTTTGTAAAAATTATCAATTATGAACCGCGGTGTTTGTATAAGGATCCACTATTGATATTATGAGATTCAGAGTCCCTAAGTTCTTGTTTAAGGAGGTAAATATGTTTATAATTACTTTAAGAAATCTTCAGTAGGTACTGTATATACTTTTCCCAAAAGGTATGATTTGATATTATCTTGCTTTTGGATATAAATTTTCAATAATTACCTTGATAACATTAAGCATACTTTTACTGACTCATTGAAGAGATTTCTAGCACTCCACTTTCATTTTTCTGACTGGGAGAGGTTTAAACAATGACCATAGCACAGATATATCTAGAGAAATGTATTTCTTAATAGTTACATAAAACTGTAAAGATAAAGTCAATTTTACTCAAATTTTTTACACAAAATTTTAAAAAATAAGAAATTAAACTGAAGATTGTTTAGATAAGGTCTATAAAAACCTTTGAGATTCTCTTCCCTAAGGGAAATAATTCACTTTCATCAAAGTTGAGTTTCAACATCTTTTTCTTTATTTCAGCATCATAAAATCGTATCTGGTTTATTGCTGGATTTGTCATATTTGAAGTGTTTTTTTAACAGGCAATGGACTGTTACCGTGTAGCGCTGACCTTGTTGAAGTCACCCACCCGTTATCCCGATATCTGGGAATCTGTCTGTTGGGAGTTGTCCACCACTTATTACAACATGGCTGTCCTTCTACAGGACTGCACTCCGCTCTCTACTGAACCTCGACAGAAGGTAGAACTCATCCTTGGCTCCTTTACCTGCAAAACTGAGCCATGAAATTGTCAAATAAATAGATTTATATATGGATCTAATCTACTCAGTACAAGAAAAAAAAATGAGGAATTTGTTATCAGCCAAACAAATCTAAAAATGATAAATTTGTCTGGCAAAATAAATTTGATGAACCTATCATGAAAACATTTTTCCATTCAGGTGGAGAAAGAGGTTGCTGATCTGATGAGTAAGGCATTGAAGTATTGTGACATGGCCAACACCTCTGCGCGGCAGGCTATGTACCAATACAGATCGGGATCTGTTAACCATCGCCTGGCATCTCTTTACCACAAGTCCATACGTACAGAGGTACTTAATATAATTATGGAATAATTTTCCCATTGTTGTATTTTAAATCTGTTTAACATGTATCCTTAAAAAAATGTGTATTACCATATACGATATACATCATTGTATTTCAGGTTCAAATGTCAAGGTCATTGTTACTGTGAATGGAAATTGATTTCAGTTCAATGTCTTGAGCTTTTTTGGGGGTCAGATTCATTCACACTCCATACATTGCTTATTTTGGGTTTTGGATTCAAGGTTAAAGGTATAGGTCACTCTAACTATAAAGAGCATAAAGTGTCAATGTCTGGTATTTTTTAGCCTGATCCCAGTCAAATGTCATAGAACACTTGACCACAAGATCATTACTATTTTGTCATCTATGGACATCAACATTGGGTGATAAGCATTCGTTTGTAGTGCCGTATCTCATGCTGATTCCTACAGTCTAGCATTTTATCACTGCAATCTTATTCCTCACCAGTAAATTACTTACTGATACATTGTGTTTAGGTAAGTGACCAGAAGAAGAAGTACCTGCGACACTTGGCAGAGACCCACTACAACAAAGCTGCTCATTTCTTTTCTGCAGTCGACTGCCATGTTGAACTCCTTCGCACCAGACTAGAACACTTTGCTCTGCTTGAGTTCATCATGTCAGGTAGGGAATGCAAATGTCTTCCTTTTGCATTTGTTTAGTTTTGTTTGAAAATTTATAAGATTACTCAACATGAAATGCTGGTGGCTTTATATCATCTGATGTCAATCCAGCATTAACATCTGAAGAATGATCAGGACTCGACTATGGGGTAATAATGTTCAGTTGCTAGTATATAAGGTGATCAAGTTGATTTTTTTAACTTAAACTTTCAAGGTTATAAGTATTTTGAACAGCCAATTCTTAGTTACCAAGAAAAGGCATTCTGGAGTATTGTTTTGTGGCATGCAGCCTTTTGATGTGAATGGCTGTCAAGTTTTGACTGATTGGATTGACCTTCACCCTTAGTCACAGGGGCAAATGTGTAAAGAACTTTTAGCAAATTGATCTAAGTTTCTTTAAGGGGCCCTGAGTTTATCATGTTGGCTTATATTTAAACATTGTAAATTTAGTGTAAATGAATTTTAGTGCATTATCCTGTTTTTGCAAATTAGCACGATGATAAACTCAAGGATCAGAAGTAATGGCTATATATTCAACAATTAACATCTAGAAGAGACAATTAGTGCAGTTATATTTTAGCGCAATATTTTCAGTGTTGAAAGGGCTAATTTAGATCAAAATTACTGCTGAAATTGTATACAGTAGTATATACTAGGTAACATTGCTACCAATTTTGTTCAAATGAAGGAAGTTTTTTTTAAAGATCATGTAGAAAACAGATATAATTATTTAGTAAGTTATTTATAGGTCTAGTGTTCAGTAAATTTCTGTAAAGTGACAGTATAGAGTGGCAGTATAAAGCATACAGTGGTGATGTTTCTAAATAGTTGAAACATGTTTGCAAATATGACGCTAAGATGTTTTAATGTAGTAATGTAGTTGATTCAAAATTCTTCTCTATCCATATAGTGCATGTTTTAAATTTATTTATTCCAGGTTTAACCAATATGAAGTTACGCCTTAAGACATTGACCAGTGGTGTTGCATTTCTCCTTGAGTGTGAGAATGTGTTGACGGCTATGTTAAATGCAGTTGGAGAGGGAGATACTGATGATAAACATAAGTGGGAAGCTCTCAGTCTGATGGAAATACTGGACTCTCGTCTTCAGTTCGCTCTTCTACAGCTGGTCAAGTGTTACACCTCCCTCAAACGCAGGTAATTCTACCATTTTACATATTGCTAACCATCACAATGTGTCCTTTCTACCATAAATGTAGGAAAGGGCAAAATGAAATAGGCCATGATAAATAGGATCAGTTTTCATTTGGTATGTGATTTATGAACAAGTCAGAAGAATTTTTAATTTCAACAAGCCTTTGTCAGGCAAAAGGAAAAAAGGAAAAAATTAAGATCCTTTTCTCACATTTTTAATCAGGCAATTATAGAAAAGAGTCAAATATTATATGTGTTTAATTTTAGCCATTAAAACCTTTTTACTGTCCTGTGTTTAATTTTAGCCATTAAAACATTTTCCGTTGATATTGACATTATACATTTTAAGTATTAAATTGTTTATACATAACTGCTTTATTTGAAGGGATGTTATTTTTGCTATTTCGTGGTACATAATGTGATAAGAAATTCTTATTCATGAAGTAATAAGACATATATATATTAGATGTCTTTTTGCACACAGATTGCTAAATTTTGATTTGTTACAATATTTTTCCATCATTTTTAGAAAAAATCCTGAAAATTTTGACCCATGGAAATTACTAGCTATATGGTGTGTTAATTGTGTGAAGATTGTGGCAATGCCTACAAATGTTTGTATCTAAGTTAAGATATCCTCTTTTTCTTATGTTATCCTTTTTTTAACTTCACAGAAAATCAGACCAGGAGCAGTTGAAGACTTTGTATGCCAAGAGTCTGAAGAAGGAGCCCAATAAATGGGTAGAAAATACTGGAGAGTACAATGAACTGACTGTGATAGGAACTCATCTTGTCCATCTTTTGGCCGACTTTAGGAAATTCTATAAAGACACTCTCCTTCATGACCCAGGGTAGACAACTTTGAGGAGGTTCAAGAACTGTGATCATACTTACAATTTAATGTCGACTGAAGGATAGTTTTCAACAAAATAAAAAATAGGATAAAGTAGATGACATTATTGTCAGTTGATGATTAGGACATTTGAACTACACAGGATCATATTTTGTAAAACAGGGGTATACCCTAGTACCTTTTGTTTTAAAGACTTCCCAAAGATTTTTTTTAAAAATAGTATTTATTTGTTTCTTTTTAGATTAAGAAAGAAAATTTGAAACTGTTCACAGGATTTTCAAAGTAGCATAATAAAAGTTACATTGTATAATGATGGTATGTGATGGACCAGTATGCAAGCATCCTACTGTGGTGTCATTGAAATGTGTTATGTAACAACCTACTGTGGTGTCATTATAATGTGTTCTGTAACGATCTACTGTGGTGTCATTGAAATGTGTTCTGTAACAACCTACTGTGGTGTAATTATAATGTGTTCTGTAACAACCTACTGTGGTGTCATTGTGTTCTGTAACAATCTACTGTGGTGTCATTGTGTTCTGTAACAATCTACTGTGGTTTCATTATAATGTGCTCTGTAACAACCTACTGTGGTGTCATTGTGTTCTGTAACAATCTACTGTGGTGTCATTTTAATGTGTTCTGTAACAACCTACTGTGGTGTCATTGTGTTCTGTAACAATCTACTGTGGTGTCATTATAATATGTTCTGTAACATTCTACTGTGGTGTAATTATAATGTGTTCTGTAACAATCTACTGTGGTGTCATTATAATGTGTCCTGTAACAACCTACTGTGGTGTCATTGTGTTCTGTAACAATCTACTGTGGTGTCATTGTGTTCTGTAACAATCTACTGTGGTGTCATTATAATGTGTTCTGTAACAACCTACTGTGGTGTCATTGTGTTCTGTAACAATCTACTGTGGTGTCATTTTAATGTGTTCTGTAACAACCTACTGTGGTGTCATTGTGTTCTGTAACAATCTACTGTGGTGTCATTATAATGTGTTCTGTAACATTCTACTGTGGTGTAATTATAATGTGTTCTGTAACATTCTACTGTGGTGTCATTATAATGTGTTCTGTAACAATCTACTGTGGTGTCATTGTGTTCTGTAACAATCTACTGTGGTGTCATTGTGTTCTGTAACAATCTACTGTGGTGTCATTGTGTTCTGTAACAATCTACTGTGGTGTCATTATAATGTGTTCTGTAACATTCTACAGTGGTGTCATTATAATGTGTTCTGTAACAATCTACTGTGGTGTCATTATAATGTGTTCTGTAACATTCTACTGTGGTGCCATTATAATAGGTTCTGTAACAATCTACTGTGGTGTCATTATAATGTGTTCTGTAACATTCTACTGTGGTGCCATTATAATGTGTTCTGTAACAACCTACTGTGGTGTCATTATAATGTGTTCTGTAACATTCTACTGTGGTGCCATTATAATGTGTTCTGTAACAATCTACTGTGGTGCCATTATAATGTGTTCTGTAACAACCTACTGTGGTGTCATTGTAATGTGTTCTGTAACAACCTACTGTGGTGCCATTATAATGTGTTCTGTAACAATCTACTGTGGTGTCATTGTGTTCTGTAACAACCTACAGTGGTGTCATTGTAATGTGTTCTGTAACAACCTACTGTGGTGTCATTGTGTTCTGTAACAACCTACTGTGGTGTCATTGTAATGTGTTCTGTAACAACCTACTGTGGTGTCATTGTGTTCTGTAACAATCTACTGTGGTGTCATTGTGTTCTGTAACAATCTACTGTGGTGTCATTATAATGTTTTGTCCCATACCCTCTCCTGTCTCGCGAAGTTTTGTCCGTCCTGTTCCATTCTGAATTAGTATCATATCTTGCAAAATAACAGATTATTAGCATTTCCATTTCCACCACCCAAGCCACCATGAAAATAGATCTGACCCGTTGCTTTTGACCAGTGTTTAGTGAAAATTCAAATTGCTGCCACTGAACAAACGAGTATCAGATGCAAAATTAACACTCAAACTATATATGTCTGACCTGTCTCAACAAACCTACAGCTGTGAAATGAGGAAGGTTTCAAATTTTTTTAAAATTCATTTTTGAAAATTGTTCACTAACCACTGGTTTTCTGTAACCAGTCTACATTGTGTTTAATGGCTTTAGAACAGAAAAACACTTACAAAAATATCTCTTAAAAGGTCTTCTTGCAAAACTAGTTCTAGATAATAAAAAATGATTTTTTTTATATCTGCATGCATGTCTCTAGCTTCCTTAAAAAGAAAATCTGTTAAGTTTATAGTCTGATGATTAAACAGTCTACATAAGAGACTCACTTTAGCCTTGTTATGATAGTAGGATTGTGCATTGTCATATTCCAGTAAATATTGAGTTATTGGAACATTATTTAAATATATGGCCAGTAAATGTGTTTTATTTATAATATCAAAGGAAGTTGAGAAACTGATTTTACTCTTCAGTACCTGACCAGCATTGATGGAAAGGTTGTTTTATGGTCACTTTTACTCAACTAATTGAAAAAAAAATGTTTTTGTTTTATTTATTTTATCTTCAAATTCATAATTATTCCAATGTTTGCTCACCTAGCCCACTGAGTTAGGGAGCTCATGCTATGATGCAGTATCCGTCTTCTATCAACATTTCCTTATAAAAGTCTACTTTTCCAAAGCTGTTGAACATATTTTAACCATTTGGATTGATAATTGAGGATTTAAGGTCAAGAGAATGGTGTTCTTCATTATTATAGATAATGCCTTCCTGTATGCAGAGGATAGTGCCAAAATGAGGGATAAAAATCAATGCTTAAAAATCTTTTTTTCAGTTCGATTAATAGATTTTTTTATGAATCATTAGAGAATTAAGAAGTCCGTGCTTTATATCTGAGAATTGTCCCCTTAAGAACAAAACTGAAATCGTATGTATACATGTATCTTTTACCAGAAATTGAAACACAGCATTTCAAAAAAATAGTACGATATCCCATTTTTTCTGTAAAATCTTTGATAATTTAAATTAGATATTAAGATTGAAGATCATTCGTGATCTGACTGTTTTAGGCTGTGTGGTTGACATGGTTTTACTGTATATTGTCAATGGTATTTCCATCTGATTTGAAACCCAACTTATATGCTTCAGCTACAGATGACTTGTACACAAGACATTTTTATGCTCCCAAGAAAATTTTTGGAGTGTATGCATTGATGTATGCATTTGTCGAAAGAAGTCTTTATCAAGAGGACATATAGTGTACCAAAATCAGGGCCCAAAATCTCTTTAATCAGAGAATTGTTGCCATTTGTTGAAATTTTCTAATAGTTTTTTGGTTTCTTTTTTGAGCATTCATCAGTTTCACTGATATTCTTGTTTTTCAAGTTTCGGTAAGACTTTATAAATTGGATGGTGTCACTCGGGTATTGAATGAAACAGGTGAGCTATACAAGCCGTATATATTATTTGTTTAGGTGCTATATGACAATTTTGATACTGTATTTTGTTTAGAATCTTCTAAATTAAGTCATGCATCAAAATGAAGACAAGCATGTACTTTTTTACTTTACCGTATTAAAGTTGATCTACATTCTGAGATGTAAATGTTGATTCTCTTTGTCATTTGTTTTCTCCAGCAGAAATATGTACACATCTGTAATAAAATGTCTGATTTTATATATTCTTATTCATCCTCGATATTTAACACCTTACACTCACTATCATTCTCTGCACCCCAGGAACAAATATCGATGGTTCCATGTGCGACACCTTGTGGAACAGACCAGAAGACTAGTTTGATCTTTTGATGTATGTCTTCAAAGGAGCGAATTAACCTGTGATTGGTCAGTTTTGATTGGTCTTTTTTTTCTCCTGCAACCCCCTTTAGACCAACCAAATCATTTCACTTGTGCCTTCAATTTTGCCATGGCATGTTCGAGGAGTGCAGTGAATTATAGTTACTGAACTGGTTGACCAAACTCCTCAATTAGTTTGTATGAGATTTCTCGTATAAGATCATAATATCATCAGTGATAATAAGAGGTTTTTTTAAACAAATTGGTCAATTGTGATATTTCACCGTCAAATAGGTAATAAATGAACCTCTGTTCTTTAAAATCATACAATAAATCTCATCAACATATGATTATAATGTAATAAACATAGAAATAACAAATATCATCTTGTCAGTAAGGTCTAATAAACATCAAGCAATGTTATACACAGAAAAACAATGTCAATAACAATTACATCATTTTAATATTACAACTCTATACATAGCTTCGTTCAGCTATCCTTTAAAAGGTAGCATGTCAGAAATCATCAATTCATACACAAACATAAAGCTATACATATCATGTACTGTAAATATCATCTAAACAGACATTCATGAGAATACGCTACATTTCTCAAGGCAAGAGACGGTTTGTCTCACTTTGATTTCTTTAACAACAGGCGTTATTTGGGTGCCTTTTTATACTTGCACATCAGAGAGCTCTTTTTTTATGTTCCTAAACTCTCTTAATCTTTCACGAGTATTTTCAGCAATGAAATGTAACTAATAAGATGTTCCATTGTGGAATCTTTGAGTAGGCCTACTTTGAATAGATAAAAAGTCTAGCCTACCATGAATATCCATTTCATGAACAGCTCAACATTGTTTTACTTCCACTTGAGCACTCAAACAGATATTCAGAATAACATACAGGGTTTTTTCAAAATTTTATATTTTTTTCCGTGATCTTTTTGGTTTTGATATATCACCTTCAAACTTTGACACTGTTCATTACACAGAAGTCTGTTATAATGTATGTACAATTTAAAGCACAATAAATACTAACCTCACCACACCATCGTTATGAGTTCCTCTATATATTTGTGTATATACATCACAATAACACCATAGAAAGCCATGTATGAATTAACGATATTTAGTTGAGCAATCAAACAGAAATAAGAAATCTAATTCTACTGGGTTGATAAAAGCATACTCTCGAAACCAAAATAAAATAAAATATGTTCGGTTGTTGTATATAATGTATGAGGTAATAAAATATAGCTAAGCATTCAAACAGAAATAAGATGTATATTTCTAAAATCAGCTGTGACCAGTACATTACGCTGCTGACCACAACACTAGTTAAACAGGAACTACATAGTAACGTATATATAGGAACTCGACCAGGCAACAGAGACCAAAGTCTCCTCACAAGGTTGAAACGCTGAAAGTTAAACAGGAACTACATAGTAACGTATATATAGGAACTACAGTTAAAAAAACACACTGGTTTGTCTCGACTAGGCAACAGAGACCAAAGCCACCTCACAAGGATGAAACGCTAAAAGTTAAACAGGAACTACATTGTTACGTATATATAGGAACTCGACCAGGCAACAGAGACCAAAGCCACCTCACAAGGATGAAACGCTGAAAGTTACACAGGAACTACATAGTTACGTATATATAGGAACTACAGTTAAAAAAAACACACTGGTTTGTCTCGATTAGGCAACAGAGACCAAAGCCACCTCACAAGGGTGAATGCTCAGCTGAAGGTCAAAAATGATAGTGGCAAAGGCAGTATTAGGAAGAAGAAAAACTTTAAGAGAGGAGAGAAAATTAAAAGACCACGTGTTCAGTCACCTTTTAGAATCAATGGAGGCATCAGGTGTAATTTTAAATCCTGTCTGAATGGCAGTTGAGTCAAATATGTGCTCCAAATTCTACATCGCAATTCTTTCTTGTAGAATTTCATTATTATATTTACATTTTTAGCGTGAATTCTCTGACCAACAAATTGAAGTCTGACAACCTTTACCGTAAAAATATGTTTTAAAACATGCAGTTTATACACCAGTAAACAACAAAAGAGAAAAACTATTTCTGAACTTAAAACAAATTATGTGTTTTAAAATGTGGATTTCACACAACTAAAACATCCAATGAGAAAAAATATTTCTGAACTAAAAATAAATCATGTTTTTAAAGATGCAGTTTACACACCAGCAAACAATAAAATAGAAAAAATCTTAATTAAACAAAACGTGTTTTTAAAAATGCAGTTTACACACCAATAAACAATAAAGGAGAAAAAATCTTAATTAAACAATTTTATTTTTTATTTTCATATATTTTTTAATTGCTCTGCAACTGTTTATACACGTGACCTTACACTATTGCTATGCACTCAGTCATTAAAAAGAATATAGACATATATGTTAGAATATTTCGTGTTGGAATTCATTGATTCCAGTTAAAACCTGTTCAGTTATATTAAGTATGAACGTCCCGGATTATGTAGATTGTACAAAAGACACCAAGTTAATAACACATTTACATATTTTAGAGTGAGAGCCAAACGATGTAATAAACTGCATCATGCAGCTATTTCGTTCTTCTATGACTCGACAGTGATGCTAAGGGCCTAGATTTTGAAGCCTGGGAGCCGACTAAGGAGAATCCAAAGTGATCGAAAGAAAAGTCAAAATCTAGACAGGGAGATGAATCAGCACAATATATGTAATTCTTTCCGCCATTAAGATAAATTAAGCTTAATAATCCTTTACCGCTGATTTATCACCAATCACAATATTTTTTGGTAACAATTTGCCCGTCCAACCTACATGAACGTGCGAGAAGACATTAGGTAACACAGGGTTTTAATCAAACTGTCAATTAAGGTTTTATTAACAGTCTGCGAGGACCGATAAATCGATCAACACCTTTTGTGTTTCTGCTGAATGCCCTGTTATTTTGTATCCTCTTTTGAATATTTGTTAACGTGAGATGTCACATGACAACTGCGGAAACTGGCAGAGCAGTCGGGATACTGCAAGCCTGACAATAACAATGAACAGTGGTTGTACACTTCAATGTGTCACAGAATGCCATTTCTCGATTAAGGAATCGATTCCAGATGACCGGATACGTCATCTAGACGGAAAGGTGCAGCAGCCCCATAATTAAATAAATTTCTTAATTCTCATAGATATCGGGTAATTTTATAACAGCGCCAAGTATATGTCTATATTTGAACCGTGCCACTAGATATCAGCTGTAGAATTTGACATAATATCGTGATAATCAAATTTATCCATTACATCTTGTCCATAGTCATCTGTGTGTCAATCGTGTATAAACTGAAGTTCCAATATAGCCCCTGTTTAATCAACAATGTGATATTTTAATGTTCCAATTATAAAAAAACCCAAACTAAAGACCTTCCATTGGTTATCTGCTGTCCTTTTTTTACATTAGCATTTCACTGTGTGGCTGAAATAACCTGATCTCTTTACCTAATGCGAAAGAGTTGGGAATCGACGCTTTGTATCAGACACTTCAAGGTTAATTCAGAATGCAGATTTGCTCCCTGTGATCTCGTTTGATCCGTAAATATGTAATGACGATGTTTTTTTTTCTAATCAATATCGGTGACCTGTTCTGTTACACCTGACCGTTTATTAAATACAACTTGTATTTGCATAACGCGATGAGAATTCCTACAACACGTACAAGGCTATATAGAATATTTACAAGAAGTAAATTTGAACAAGTCAGTTGTATCAAAAGCAGAAATTAAAACTAGATACAGACATTGATGACTGTATACAACAATGAAGTTTTTCGTCCTGCTAGGACTCGTTAGAGATAGGAAATCAAGAAGGCTAGTTGGGAAATTAAAAACTGGTTAAAAGCAACAGTAGCGTAGCTAGCCAAGCAGAAATGTGTAAGCCCAGGCGAGGGGTCTGAATTTGATGATTTCAAAGATGTTTAGAATCGTTTTCTGAGACAGAGACAGTTTTTTTATTTATTTAACAACAAACTTCAACCCCTGATATCTATTTTCAACCTTAGTTTTGTAATTTTGTCCAACATACTCTATGCACGGATTTTTTTATGTTTAAGCCCGGGCTTTTTCTTTCTATGGGAGCTACGCCCTTGGTAAGATGGCGAGAGATAGGTGTACTCGCCTTATAATTCAATAGATTTAGTACGAATTCATTATTGGGATGGACGTCAAATACATGTGTACGAAGACAAGTGCAACTTATTCGCAGGTATGTCGCCTCAATTGAAAGCTTCGCTTGTAGGGAGGCGTCTTCTTTCGTCTTGTTGCGATGTACTCGATTATACTAACGTCCGTGTGTATACGTTTATAGTTACACGTCGGATGGGCAGGCAATGGGGGAAAAACTGTTAAATGTCTTCCTAAACTAGGTTAAAGGTATCAGAATACATATGGTACCAAATGATTTAATTATTAGTTTATCGTATACATTTCCTTTCTCGGCCATGAGGAACAAATGATGACCAGAGTCACGCCGAGTTTACTTTGACCCGATATAATGACACATGTCACATGATGATCGGGAAATATGGAACATTTCTATAAAATATCATTACCTGAAATTTTGAAAAAAGTGAGTAAAGAAGTAAGGATTAAGATTTGAAAGTAGTAATAAATATTTATCATAAAAAATCAATAGTAGTTATCATTTGTTATCATAAAAGAGATGATAAATATCGATCACATAAGTCTGTCTCCCTGACATTAAACAGAATACCGTATAACCGGTTATTTTTCGGGGATGATATTTTTCGCCATTTCGAGGTACATTAGAAATAATGAGACACGTGTATATGAGATGTCATTTTACGTCCAGAGCGCGAAATTTTTATTCGTTAAAGTGTAATTCAATAGTTTTAAAAGAAAATCGAGAATATTTTGCCCGCAACAATCATCAGCTAAACGATATAATACCTGACCTGTAGCTTGTGGAAGAACGCATTCGGTCTCCACAGGTAAATGTGGATTGGCATCGTACATCTTAAAGCATTCTACTGTACCGTATAGAAATATTAGATTTAGCAAAAAAAACCACAAAAATGTTTTTAATTACTGAAATTGTACCAGACACAAGTGAATAGCGCCTTTTCATACAAATTTAGAGTTAGATACATTAGAGTGAAATAATGAATAAAACTACAGTATTTAACTGTCTAGCAGTGCATAATTTTGTTGGGTGTCATTCATTCATTTGAGATCATCAAGCAGTAAGCTCTACCGGTGAATCCTTCATGCCTTGCCTTAACTCTCAACAATATTGGCACAGATAAAGAAGATACTTATGTTCCTAACGTGCCGTTTTTGCGATATTCCTTACTCTCTTTGTCTAAACTTCGATCTGAAGCATCTTAGAAAAGTCCTACAAAATAACACAGTACCTATTACTGATTTCGTATCGATAAGTGCTGACAGTTTGAACAACCATTTGATAAATCAATAAAGAAACAAACACCTCAGGGATACCGTGGTCAATTGTTCAAACTAACGTCCCGTAACTCGGATATAAATAACAAAATGTTTGATCATTGTTTTGTTCCTAATATGCCTTGTTTTGACTCAGTGGTATATCATATATCCACCATATCCTCACAAACGTCATACCCTTCCTACTGCAATGTATCGCCATGGCTGCTGTATTACAGGTGACACAACATACGCCAGACGATTGTCTACATTTTACGTTTTATGATATACCTATTTATTTAGTTCCTCAAGCGGAAATAGTCACATAATCAACGACACGTCTCTGAAACAATGATCAATTCGTATATCTAAATAGGACATTCATCGTGTTCGTCTGTCATGTTCGACTTTGGTGTATTGTTTCGCTTTGGTGCAGTGTTCTTGGCCTTGGGTCCACTATTTCCACTTCCGCTTCCACTTCCGTTTCCCTTTCCGCTCCCGCTTCCACTTCCGCTTCCGCTCACTTTATTTGTCCGAGGTGTAGCTGATTTTCGCATGACGTAATCCAACGTATCAACTGCTACACAGAAAACGAGTGGAAGGGAAACGAGAAGAATCCAGGAATATCCGATAAGTTTGGACAACCAACGATCATCAGGGACACTGTACAACGTTCGTTTGTAACGATCAGTTGACTTGAGCGGGATCCGGAGTTGCTGAATGTCGTCTATTGTTACTAATGGATTGTTGTTAGGTGAACCTCCAAGACCGAGGAACGGGAGATATGGTGGAGTACCATTAACGGGATTTAAAAACACTTGATAAACCTCTGTAACAAAAAACGCAATAAAAGAATAAAATCTTCTGTTTTGAGTAAATATCGTTCAGACAGCTATTAAGTATCCGGCAGTATAAGGTTTGTTTCGAGTATTGCATAACATACCACGGAGAAAATGTAATTGCCTTTTATCGTAATCATCAAATAGGTTATTGAATTCTCGAGTACATTACAGTTTGGTTGACAATACGAATTCATGGTCTAAATATTTGTTAACTCGTAATTTAGTACATTTTTCTTGTCACTCAAACGATGTACTTGAAGAATTACTTGTATATGAAATACTACTTTTATCAGGTGAGACATGTAGGTGTTAAATTTACCTCCACAGTGCGGTTTTGTGCCAGACCACTGTCCAGTATCGCCACATGTCCTCGATGCGTCTCCAAACTCTACAGCAAAGCCAGGGTCACATCCGACAATCACCACACCATTGTAATTTGTATTGAGGTGATATATTGTTCCATTAGCTACTTCGCCGGGATCAGGACAGACGATGTCTACAATGAAACACGGCATTTAAGTGCATACGTCACATCGGAACTGGTGCTTCATTAAGCACCTGTTGGAATAGGAGATAATCAGAAAGGTCTTTTCATCACGGGCTTATGTTTAAAACATCGTGTGACTAGGAAATGTACCCATTTGATCTACTGTTTTTAAGCAAGTGACGGAGAAGGTATTGGCGTCGTAAAGACGCATGTTAATTTCGAAGACAGAACGCAGTTGAAAATGCCCCAAACACATTCTTTTGGTAAAGGGAGAGAAGTTCTCTTTTATACATTTCTTTATTATGAATATTGCAATTGTATTGTTTTGTAAAGCTGTTAAACTTGCATTTTAATATGTAAAACTAAAAAAAGTTGTGTAAAGCTACAGGTCATATCAATATAACTTTATTACGAAAAAATAAACATATGAAATCTCGGCGCGGGAAAGTTTTTACCTGTGACAGAAAACACTGTACAAGCACAAGACTTAACAAATCACGCACAGATATAGACTCTATCCATGAAAAATACTATCAGCCCTTCATTGTCCAAACACGAAATATACAAAAGTTCTTGATTACAATCCTTTAGCAAACACGCTTTAAATTGGTCCGTACTGGTTTGGTGGTTTCGTTTTTATCGTTTCTGAAGGTGTATGCGATCATGGTGAATGTTTTTATGTTTTGTGTAAACGCGATAGTTTTTTGACATACTGGTTAGTCACTGGAACAGGATGGTGACACTTATTAAGAAGCCAAACTTTCATAGGATAATTAAACTTGTAATAAATTAAGAGACCAAGTGTTGTGTGCACGACTGAACACTGATACGCCGTAATTAGCCTTGTGTCACGCACAGGTGACTTTCTACTCTGTGAATGGATGGAATGATTTCGTCAGAAGTCGTGCCGATGTTTTGACAAAAATTGATTTCGAGACAACGAGTAACTTGTCCCTTGCTTTACAATTGAAGGGACTGAAAATCGCTTCTACTCAAACGAAATTCCGACTTAAGGAAATTCGAGTCATCCAAACTGAAATTACAAAGATAGAGAACGTAAAAAATCGGGACTTGAACATTATTTCGACTCAAACGGAATTTCGACTCAAGCGATTTTGAGACAACAAGTTTCAACTGTAATCAGGTTTGCCTGAATATTCAAACATTCTATCGACTTTTTACATCAGTCTGGAGTCGATAAAAGCAAGATGGCTATGAAAACAGGACACAGAATACCAGACTTTTTCTAATTGTATGAATATGCTCTCGATTTCTGATATCTTTGAAGTTCACCTTCACAAACTGGAGATTCTCCGCTCCAGGAAGTGTTTGACTGACATGATCTCCGAAGTGTTCCTGACGATAATAATGTTCCGTGCTGACACTTGTACTCGATAACGTTTCCATACTCCATCCCTTGATGTGACGTAATATCTGCCTTCACTCCCATTGGATAGGATGGGCATATCACCTCTTAAAAGTAAAAGTAAAGGTTATTAATTTTGTGATAAAGCACCAACATTAAAAACAGTAGTACCTACAAGAGAATACCGGCAAGTCACTAATTACAATAAAATTCAAGGTAAATGGAACGAGGGTCACATGTAAACAAATTATGTAACGGACAACCTTGAGATTGTACCAGAACAACAACGCCCAGGCGTTATTGTAGGGAAAGTGTCTTCTAATTCATCAACGACATCCAACAGAAAAATAATTTGAATAATAACCCGATTAAAATTCTCACCCAATTTTGTAACTTGAAGTCATTCTTTAGCTTTGGTGATTTTTATTTACACCTTGTTATCGTGTCTAGAGCATGTTAGAACATATAAAAATTGGAAAATCTTAAAATGGCATTTCCGTTTGTCTTTTCATCACTGAGGAAAACAACGTGTACAGTACTTAGCAAGTTTCTTCTCTTTAATTTGTTTCAAACTTCTCAATGATTTTACGTAAAAAAACCCAAACACATCAAAACCTACGATGTGAATATAGACCCTGCATTTTGGCAGACAAATTCACACGAACTCTTTGTGTACTGTAACTATTGACTAGATATGAACGCCTCGTTAGCATTTAGATGTGTCTAGAGAAATACATACTAGGCTGTAATTATGATGAACATGTTGTGTACTGTTCAAATATTCCTTTTTTATTTCATTTGTACTAGGCCGACTTAAAACGTGTAAATATTTATGTCACCACGATAATTCCATTACCAGCAGCAGGATGTTTGACATATTTTACGATTTTGTAGACAAGAGGATGTAGTTAGAATTATATATGCGTCGCCTGTAGAAAATGGTTATCTGTTACGAAGGAAAGTGCTTATTTGTGATTGTTTTAAAACCACGTAAATGTTTAATGTATATCAGTTAGGAAAGAAAATAGAGTTGGATATAGAATTCCAAATGTACACATTTTCGTAAATTGCAAAAATACAATTGATACATTGTACAAGTTGACAAGGATAGTTAAAAATATTTTGATCATAGTAAGGTTGCCATTGAAATATTCTACCTACTTTGACAAGAATCAATTGCTGTCCAATTTCGCGACGCTTGACATGTCGTTTGGAACGACGTCTTATTCCCGCTGTGGTAACCAACGTCACATGTGTATGTTGCACTAGATTCAAAATCTGTGCTATTGTAGGACAGTTGGCTGTTTGTACCATTGGCGGTTTGTGGTATGCCACACTGCACTCCTTTAAAAAAAAGTAACATACTTTAGGAAATATGAAAATATTGTCATAGGAATCATAACGGATAAAAATAACGGAATAGGAGCAAAACTGAACACCGAGGCACTTGAAAAAGTGAAGAGAAAAAATTCTGTGCCATCGACAGCACATGCTATATAAATGCTAATCAGAAATGTCAAGTTTTCCAACGAGACACCAAACACACCATAACACATAGTTAACGTATGTATATAACCTGCACAATTCACATATTTAACTGTATGTAAAAGTTTACCATTTTCTTCATTTTGAAATATAACCCTACAATATCTTCCCTAATAGCCAGTCAATCAGTTGGTATACAAGACGAAGATCAGATGTTATCGTAACACAATACTCTCCATTTACTTAAGAACTTTATGCGAGAACGTGTATCAGCGCTGGTGAAAAATATTCAGATCACATATTTATAGATGATAACTGAAATGTCTGGAGTTGATTGCCATATAACAAACATATTCCTGTGTTTATTCATTTGTAAATGAAACAGCGAAACCAGGGAAATGAGTTATGACCTGTTTCCGTTTCTCCAAAAGTATAAAAAAAAAAAAAACGAAGTTAAATCCCATAAATTTGCGTAAGTAATAAAAAAAACATATGTAATATTGTTAAAAATATAATTAAAATAGAACGCTGATCCTGTTACAAAAAGCAGCCCTTTCGTGACTTAACCTAGAAACACTGTAATGAATTAATCACGTTTAGAAACTTAATTTACTATTTAAAAATGGTAACGTCGGATTTCCTTAATTAGTTTCTTACGAGTGTCTCCGTCACAGTGTATAATTCAAACATCCGATGACAGACACTTACTTTCACACACGGGGACTACACCACTCCATCTAGCATCTAGCTCACATTGTCTACTGAAATTTCCACTCTCCGGCTCATACCCGGAAATACAGTCGAACGTAGCAATCACCCCAATTGTCAAACCCTCGTTTGTTCGTACAACTGTTGTAGAGTTTTCACTTGGATCACCGCAACTACCTGAAATTGTAAATAATTCGAAACCAAAATAATCAACTACATTTAACGATTGACAACCTATCGAATTCATGTTGTTGTCAGCCTTAAATTTTTCAAGCAACAAGTATTATATAATTTTCAATTGAATGGACCCTTTTCATCATCATCATCATCATCATCATCATCATGTTTTTATCTATATGTATTATTTTGATATATCAACAATATTATAATACTGATAATTTTTATCTTATCGATGTTGAAATCAATTATTTAGGCTTTAAGGATACGCAGAAATACATCTTAGATATCAGGTTTCTGAAAAAAAATCAATATTGTAACTTCGTAGTGTCCTGTGCCTTTTGCGAACGTTATCATGAACAACAGGGCTAGGTCCTGAGTGGTCACATGTCTTTGTTAATATTGCCAATTTTGTTTGTCGTTTTGTAACAGGAAATCAAAATCAAGGACAATATTTATAAGGAGATTTAACCTGTCAAACCAATACATCTGACCCCAACATACCAACATATCAACATTATCATAATCCAAACACAAATTCGATAAAACTAGAGGAAAATATTAAAAGAAAGTACAAGGAGATTAATATCAGGTGTTCCGGAAGAGTCAGTCAAATTAATCCAAGTCAATAATGTCATGTTCTCAAATTAGAACAAAGGATACAACAACGGAACTCAACAGGCAAACTAGCAAGTTTGTAAGATGTCCAACTACACACAAGGAACGGATCGACCCTACAACTTTCCCCTAACATTCATCAACCTGCAGCTCGGAAACCCGCGAGTTTGTCTATCAGCTGTAAATGTAGGGTTTCCATTAAATTGGAAGAAAAATTTGAAAAATGAAGCATTTCCTACATGAAGTTAACAACATAGGTTTATAGATCAGAGATGCTGCTATCTAGAAACAGAAAAGTCACAGCTAAGAGCAAAATCAAAATCATCATGCTTATAATACAGTTTCGTGTTGCCCTTGTTGCATTCGTCTTAGAGAAAGATCGAGATAAGCGGTTGAAGTAGAAGAGTCTGTCGTTTCCTTGATTTCCATTTTTGTTGGATATAAAAATGACAAGATGGACATGGTCAATATATTTCTTGATATCTAAAGAGGACATTAACAATTTAACTAAATGTGAAAGCGAAGGACTTGAATAGGCTTCATGACCTATTTTGATCAGCTCTTTGGTAAATTCGGACTCGAATGAAAACAAGAACAAGTGAGCCAAAAGAGAGGTTAAATCCCATAGGGGTGCTAATAGCCTGTACCACCAAACACGACGATGCTGTTGTCAAACAGAAATATTACCAGTTTTACATCTGCATAGAAGGATGCTACATTGCAATTAAATGCAATAAATAGTAAAATCAAGAAATGTTTGCTTCTCGAATCATAATACATGCCAATAAAGTTTGATTGTTACATGTATAGTACGAAATAGTTTTCTAATAAAAACGTGCATTATTTATAACACTTACGTGCACATACGGGCGCTTGACCACTCCATTGCTGATTTGCCTGGCATGTCCTTATTTCGTCTCCGCTTTCAATATCATATTTATCAGCACATTCGTAAGTGACTTTATCAGAAAAAGTTACTCCTTCCACTGTCTTAGTACAGTTGATACCATCTTCTGGTTGTCCACACGACTTGGCTGATATTCAAATACAAGGTTACAGAGCGATGAAATTACGAAAAAAAAGTATTATGTTATCAGCTATAAGGAAATATTTGTGATTTAAACTTGTCAAAAAAGATGGATTTTTATAACATTATAAATATTTTGATGTCAATTTAGAAATCGTATATGATTTACAGGCATTACTTTAAAGTTAGCTCAGACTACTTGTGTTATATCTGTAACAATATTTAAGACCACTTGTGTTATAGCTGTAACAATACTTATGGCTACATGTGTTATAACAGTCGTTAAGACTAGATTTTCCCCAGTTTTAAATCCTGATACTTACGATTGCATTGGTAAGGAGTTCCTTCCCACACTTTAGAAGCATTGCATATAGCAGTCTGATCTCCAGAACCGTATTCATAACCATTGTTACAGGCAAATGTAATACTGGTGTTAAAATCATACTTTAACTGAGACGGGGTGTAATAGGCATTTACTTGACCAGCTGGAGGTGAACATTGCACAACTGAAAATAAAGGTTGTTACAATTTCATAGAATTACTTTCAGTCGTTATCTTGCAATGAAAATAACTAAAATTAAAAAAACAAGGAATCAGCTATGTGTTTACTAAATATTGACTCTAACTCAAATAGATGACAAGGGAATAACGAGAACAAGCGATTTACACAGAAACTCTTAAGGGAAATGCATGGAGTATATAACCAGGTTTTATGCAAGGGTTAGAGATTTCTGCCTTATAGAAAACACCCGTCATTTAAAATTTAGAACAATGTAACAACTGAAACATTAGACATACTAATGAGTAATTTAACATCGCAAAAAGAGATAACGGCAATGTAAAACGAATAATAAAAACATTTCTTACGCGAATCGCAATATTGACCCTCGTATCCGGATCCAGCACAAACACACATCGGTCCTATGTCAGAGGGGTTGCAATCCTTCTCTTCACAAGGTGGTTCTGAAAACATGATAATGGCGGAGATATTCATTGTGGGAGAGAAAGGGCTAGATTAATATATACATTTCATAATACTAATTTTATATATGAAAAACGGTTAAACGAAACGCCTTTAAGGAACTAGAACAAGAAATACCCTCTGGTGATACAGACATTATAATTACCATTTACGTGGAGTAGTTTTTTTTTAAATAAATGTAAATTTGTAAACATATAACAAGAGCCCTAACGGTGATACGATGGCTGGTATCGATAGTCCATCATGATTTTATGATTTGCGTTCTCGAAAAAAAATGCTCCAAAACACCTGCATTAATTTGTGGACTGAGATACATTTACCTAACACAGATCAATTTTTCGTTATGTTCAATATAATCAAAAAAAGAAAAGTGGGTTTGGAAATTATCGTTGATTGATGACAATAATTCCAGTATTAACATTAACTTTTGAGCTGATAGATTTACAGCGGATAAAAGTGATTTACCACAGGACAGAAAAAAACCTTGGAAAACTAGTTTAGATATACATCAAAAAGCTCGATTTACAAAACTTTGGTTCATAAAGGGGTAAGTCAGTGGTATATATCGGAATAAAATTCGAGTCCGGACAAAAATTTCGAAACATCAAGAAATTCTAATCACCGAAGTTCCATTTATAGACGTTTCACTGTCTTTATATAATCATATCTATTTTTCATGCGATTATAAATTCTTTCATTTTCATTAGAAATAAGTTCAGAAATGATATCTATGAGAGCCTGATACGACTTCGTGTGATATACCATCAACGTCAGCGTAGGCCAGTTGTATTACGATCTGTGCGTCACTTTCTTTAACACATTGCTCCACACTACCGTCCCCCCATTGTCCATACACCATCGCCAGACAGCCTTGTGCCTCAGTTTCAGTCGGATGCCACATCATAATGGTATTTTCCATTACTCCATAAACTACACCGGCGTAAAACACCGACGGTCCCAGACTATCTGTTGTTGGTGCCGTACCGGTGGTATAGAAATCATATCCTTCGTTAACACCGAAATCAACCTGTACCTGTAAGTGCGAGACAATGACAAAATATTATAAACGATCTTGGTTTCATCTATTGGTGTTAGTGTGCGATTTATAAAAAAAAATAAAATTCGAAAAGATTTTACAAAAGTAGGCAAATGTCAAAAACTGTATTTTAGAGAAATGTTACTCTTGCATCAATGATGGCGATGTGTCGATTCTATTTATCCAATGATTTTCTTTATAATCATGGAGGTATTTTTTTTTTCGTAAAATTGGTGCCTAATATACTTAGCAAAAAAATTAACATAACAAAGAATAAGACAGGATTAAATATTGTACGGGCTTACCTTTACTGTTAAAAATCCATCGTCTATAATATCCACCGATTGTGTCACGGTGCCATCAGCTGGCATATTTCTCAAGTAGGACACTATTTTGGAAGGGTCATTTTCCAGGTTTCCAAAGTCCCAAGCCCATACCCTTACAGCAGCTGAATCATCATACATGAATTGCCCATCGTTGCCCCAGCCATCAATCGCGTTGAAAATAACACCTTAAATATAAACTACACAATTTATCTATCTTACAACAATTGCGTATCATGATTTTTCAAGTCATGTTAAACACTCTTGTTGGTCCAGATGTAAGAGTGCGAGGGGTCTTAATGTGGGAGGAAACCAGAGTACCTGGAGAAAACCCACGTTGTTGGCCAGGTGACATCTTATCTTCTCACGTCCATTCCGGGAATCGAACACAGGACTCCTAGGTAAAAAGGCGAGTGAGCTACCACTGTGGCACTCGACCGCCCACCGTAAATATAGTCAGTGGCTTCAACTAAATTATGTAATCATGAAACCAAATCCTAAACATGCATTTTGTTTCTTAATCAAAATTATCATAAATCAGGTCTTTAAATAAACTGAATTTCTCATGTAATAATTCAGTTTTAAAAAGGATAATCCGTTGGATTAATCGAACTTATTTGTCCGAAGTGCGAGAAGGAAACGTACGTTGTCGACAAGGTAATTGCGAACTTTGTTATCCGTTGATCCAACAAACTATTAATTTTAAGTGTAGTCAGGACAAGTCTGACTTACTGGTATCTCCAGGAAACTTGCTTTTATACCAATTCATTTTTATAACTTAATTATTCAGACAAGAATATCCTTACATTGCGCTCAACAATTGTGTTACAACGTCCAATATATATGCATATATGTATATCCATTGTGAATATGTGCAATGGATTCTAGTTTCTTTCAAATATTTTGTATAAAACATACATCGATTAATACATTAATAACTAATTTTAATTTTGAAGCCTTTATTCTTTATAAAATTGAAATGTAACTTTGTTAAACAAAGGAGAATCAATAAAAAAAATTTAAAGAGAAAAAACAAATTCGTAATTCAAACATAATGACACCAATATTTATATAGAAATTTCGAAAGAAGCACCACAGTACGGCAGTATTATAAACCGTTTACGTACAAAATAGCATCGATTTTCAGTCTTTGTTAATATTTCTTTTGACGCAATCGTGTAGAAGAAGGAATCCCAGTTGGACATACTATTACTCTATATAACAGGATAAAACACAGTAATAAGAAGAATTCTAGGCTCTTATATTGCAATGTATTTTATAGAATTCTAATCAAATGCAATAATTAGATGAATTCTATGCTCTTATATTACAATGTATTTTATAGAATTCTAATCAAACACAATAATTAGATCACATGTAAATGAACTAAAATTTTACTGGAAAGCTGTGTCTACACAGGTATGCGAATGAGTGTAAGGAAAGTCCGTGAATCTATTTCCAGTACCAGTTTACCTATTAGCAATAGATAAGTATAAGTACAAAACAATTCTGATATAAGAACATGGGTTAAATATGCACTAATACCGTTTGAAACGGATCCTGATCCTTTCCTTGGGGTCCATATCCGAATACTGTATTTCCCAAATGCAAACACTACACCTCCAAAGGAATTCGCTTGCTGGGAGTAAAAGGATATACCTTAAAGCACACAAAAACAAAAACATTATTATAATTCGATAATATGCACCAGACAAAAGCCGGCGTTACAACTAAATTTTAAATTTCAAGAAAAAAAGTGAAATCATAAGGTCTTACGATTTCTATATCAAAAGGGGTCTGTCAGCATTGACTGCAATATAAACACACGATGAGGAAAACAGCTACAAGAAGATATTTCTTGCCTTGAATTAAGACGTATTAGAGGTGAAATAATGAAGTATTCACAATTTCGTTCGCTATGATATCCTTCAGGACGTGAATCAAACAATGATATGGAATGGCGTTTTTATTTGAGGTAAAGTTTATGTATATAGCAGTAATATAACTTGATCATAAGATAGAGACGGTCTTTATCTTAGATCTCATTTTGATCGCTGTATCAAAAAATACTCGTTGGCATATAGGAAAATTATACACAATAGATAGGATATGAAAATAACAGACCCGCACATTTCGTATTGTTTGGAAAAAGACATGGTAAAAAAGGCACTTTAATTTTAAAAAAAGTTTGACTTTTACTGCCTCTTAGGAACAGATACGTCATCAAATCACCAGCAACTTGCTACTAGCTTCTCAACGAGTTCTGTTGGATACGAAACTGTCAATTTCGGGTAAAGCCATCACACCTCTGGTTAAACCTGGTGTCCGTTGTCTCATACCATTGACCAGAACCGAAGGGACATACAAGCAAAGCTTACATTTAACAGAAAAGCATTCGTAAACAGTAACATCTCCACCATCAAATTACCTTGTGTCCAAAATGTGATTCTGATGGCATGTTATATATCTTGGTCTCCAAAACGCACCTTGCGTCTGTCCGACTAAGTAAAAAGTAGGAGAGAGTAAGTTTCATCAGATCAATGGACTCTCCTCAAAGACCTAATAGTCCATGTCCGGTTAATTTTTACAAAAGTGTAAATCAGTTTAGATTAAAACTGGCAAAGTGAATATATTGTCTATACTAATTGTATCTACTGTTTCCAGGTTGTATCCATTGTCGCCAATATTTTCCGTTGTGAATCTATTGTATAAACTCGTTCAGGGAGATATTATATTTTGTATATTGGAGATTTTGAAAAAGTCTTTATAATTACCAACTTTACCAAGCACACCAATGACGTAATATATGAATAGATTACCCTTTTTGGGTAAATTTTGCTTGACAATATAGGAAATATGTAATCTTACCTTGGGCATCCGTCACCCAATTATTGTCGAGGAAGATTTGGACGATCACAAGGTCAGGCTTTCTACCGACGGAATGGAATACTTCCTGGAACGCATCGGCTTCAGCTACAAAACCAAGAACAACGAGGTTACCGGGATGTAATCAAATCATATTAAACTTACCTCGATGAACACGTTTATTATTTGGTATCGACCTCCAGATCTTAACAGTGGTATAGGTTTTTGCACCACCGACCTTGACCTGCTAAGTATCTTAGATTTCAGTCCTTACCATCACTGACGAGTCCCTATTTGGATTTACACTGTACCACGTTGTAAAATAGTACAGGTGTCATTCAATTTTGGTGTGACAATCTTCGAACTTCTGCGTTATTGTTAATAGTTAAGATATTGAAGTCAATCACAAGAGTTAATAATATCTAAATTGGTCTCGAACACTAAATCATGTAGCAAATACCATTGCTGTATGGTGCTGTTAAACTAGCTCTAATTCTGATATAGATAATAAAATGTCATTCTCTTTAGATAAACTTAATAACATACAGGTTCTTATTTACTTAAATACAACTTCGCATATATAACTAACGAACCGCATAACATTCTTAAACAAGAGGCCCAGGGACCTGTGTTGTTCAAGATGAAAGAGCTGCACTTTAAGTTTAACTCATTATTTGACTCAACTGTATTTGATTCTAAAATTATATTATTCACTTGTGTGTCGTTTGTAACATGTCCTCAAAATATACTAAAGTTGTAGTTATGGGATCATTGATACTGGACCCAAAATATCGTACTTACTATTGGTTAGTGTTACTAGTTCAGATACAAACGTTGGTCTTGCAAAGTCGCATTGTTTCCAAAGTCGAACTCGAACGTCCCCCGAAGAGAAGTCGCCGGTAACTGTCGGTCCTTCGTACTTTGACCCACCTGTTTTAAAATGTAGAGAAGTATAAATTAAGTTTATCCATATTTTATTCCACACAAAATCCTAAAATAAAGCTGCGTCATGATAACACTAATTGTATATTTAAAACCATAAATGATTTTCAATAATAGTTATCGACTTAACGTCCATTCAATTATAAACATTTAAAAACCGTGAATATTTTCCCGAGCAACAACTCTTGATTTACGACCAGTTCAGTGACTTTGATTTCTACATATTGAAAAAAAAATCCAATTAAAAATGTGTTACAGAAAACATTAACAAGCCAATCAACAGTTCCTAATTACGACCATGCAAATAACAGGAACCAGTATAATTGTGATGACGGGATAAAAAAATTTTTTTGAATATCCACATGTCAATATTATCATAATAAAAACTCAAAATTCCATAAAACTATGGCAAACTATGAACAGAAGAAAGATTAACATGGAAACTTCTGAAAAAGATACTAAGACCAGGTGTTTCGGGAGAGAGAGTTTCATCGACGACGCCCGCATGTAAACCATGTTCTCAAATGAGAACAAGGTATACAACAATGGAATCACTGGCAAACTAACGAGCATCAAACGCGTCCAGAATTTCATATCGAAGAACGAAAAAGAATATCTCACAATGAGATCACTGTGGTGACCATAAAAGTCCCATAATTTTCATCAACCTGCATCTTTTGAAATCCTGTGCAATAAATTTGTCCGTTAATTGACGACTTCATGCAATGCTTCTACACCAAATAAAAACAAAAACTAGTCAGCCAACAGAGGGGCACAGTTAATTCCCATCAGTATGGTAATAGTCTATTAGCAGATCTTTTCAACAAGCTCGACGAAGAATGTTGACAACCGGAAACGCGATCATTGGAATGATTTCGTCCTCCGTATATTCTTTTTAAATGTGCTATTTTCTTGAGTGTCTTATGTACAGTCTTTGGTGTTTGATTTGAATGGCGTATAGCAGCCCTCTTTATGTATTATTTCTGTTGGTTATGTTGTTGGGACAGGACTTACTTGGAATGACAATGTCCTTTTGTATTACATGTACTTTTACTGCATAATATAAAAGGTAAAAACTTTATTGGTAGAACTTTTATTTATAGCTATGTGGTATCCATGATATTTTTGCCTTTGAAATGATGTCATAGGTTTAAACTACGAGAAGGTTTGAACTATGACCAGAAAACAGCCCTACGGGAGGTATCGTTTTACGGAATAAGCTGTGTTTTTTGTATTGAGTAAAAACATTAAAAACGACAATGATATTTAAGTATGAAATATCTTTCGTAATGATAAAGCAAGACATAATTTACTTTCATATTTAACAGCTTGATCAGATGAGCAACAAATATTTTTGAGAACGATATCCATTGAGTGAAATTTACCTAGATGTACCAGCTTTCCGTTTCCACTTCCTGTAGTATCTCCAGGGGCAAACATTTTCACTTCGTTTTCATTATATACATATATCACTCCTCCATATTCTGAAGCGTCCTCGTTTCCTCGATGACCCGAGTTGATTGCGTTGAAGATAATATCCTTGTTTTGTGTTGTGTCCTTGACGCGGACTTGAACATCAACTTTGATGGGAATCTCCCCGAGACCATGGTTGTACGATACCTCCGGATTCGTGTAAGCAGCAATTGGCATCCAGTTGCTAATTTTTGTCGGCTGATTTATACAGGAAACCACAGCAACTGAAATATTCATGAAAAATACATTGACAACTGAAAGTTGATTACTGTAAGTTATATACAGCCAATGGAGTACTGTAATGACAGTTATTTACGAGGGAGTTTCAAAACCTTTTGAGTCTCACAATTCTGCAGGATGTTTAAATGCACCCACGTCTGATACATTATTGACTGTTGACTTACTGAAAGATCGTATAGCTGGATACAATTGTAACTTTGTTGGAGACATTACCCCATGGTCAAATGGACAAAAATGAATACGAAGTGGTGATAAAGTTTCTAGTACTGGAAGATCGAGCTATCAAACGGATTGAAGAACAAGTGACTGCCCTTTCTTTTTCAGCTGATATAAACGATGGGTGAATGAATATAAAACAGTTGCAGAGTAGGTTTAGAAGATGAATCCCGGTCAGGACAACCGTCTTTAAAAAACATCAAGAAAAAACATGTCAACCTAAATACGATCCAAACTTAAATTCCGCAAAACCATGGCAAAACCCGAGCAAAAGTAAAAATTACACGTAGACTCCTGAAAATGTACAAGGGGAATGGGACCAGGTATTCCGGAAGAGTAAGCGTCTTCTACTTCATCGACGACATCGGTCATGTAAACCTTGGTCAATTCAAATAAGTAATGTCACATACAACAGAATCAACATGCAAACCAATGAGTATCAAGCACGTCCAGATTTATATCGCAGAAAGAAAAAGAATATTTCTCAACAGGATCATTACGGCGACCATAAAATTCCTCATAATTTTCATCAACCTGCATCATTTGAAACCCTATGTTACGAGTTTGTCTGTCAAATTACGACTTTTTTACGAAATCGTGATAATGGGACTGGCCCTTGAATATCGAATCATTTCCGACATGTTGGAGATGCAGGAATATTGCTATCCAGAAATGGAAAATCCACAACAGGGAAATTGGAATCATCACTCTTATTATACAGCTTGGTGGAATGTTGTCTATGTTTGTTTCGTTGTAGGAAAAGATCGACCAATACTAACTTGGAAAATATGTAGACTGTGCACAAACCAGTGATGGAAAATCATCACCATCAGGCGATTCTTACTAACTCGGTAAAACGTCAGTTCAGATGATTCTTCTTTTTAAGACTGTAACCTGTGAAGAAGATTTGCTTTAGTCTTATGATCCGTGTTGTCATGTTCTAAATAATGTTACCTCGATTTATAGAGTAGAAGAATAGCACAACCAGTAGCATATTTGAGTGTGATTTATCGATGACTTCACAATCACCTTCATCAGACAAATGACCAGTGTGGAGTGTACTAGCACTGACGTACGTAGTGTACGAGATGGTAAGGAATCGACCAACGCTTTTGAGTTTACTGTAATTTTATGTCATTAAGATCGAAAATAGTGTGACATTATGGTAAGGAAACGATCAACTTTTGTGGTTGTACTATCATCCTAGGTAGAAAATATCGTGACGGAAAATCAAACTTAGTTATACACCTGTATAGGCTATACTTCATCTGTTGCGAGTTTTTCCCCATGAAAGACAGGACGAAAAAAGGACCATGGATACTATTCTATGTTGTTATATAATGGCACACACTAAACGCCTCAAGTCATCACGACTTTAAGCAGTCTACTAGATCCCGTATACTAAGCCATGATAAGTAGCACTAATGCTTTACTGCAATTAGTCAAAGTGTTATTTCCCAAGGGAGGTGTCACTGACATATTATTCACATATCGTGATATGTCAGAAACCCTTACCTTCAAAGAGAACTATGTAATGGAAAACTAAACAAATTATTAATGACTTTCGTCAATTTGGCATTAGTTTTACATCCAACAATAATTGAATGGTGTCTTGGTGATTAGGTATATATCCTGTTATAACGAGTACCAGTGATGGATCAGAGCTGCCAAAGGCCTGATAATATAGAAGACCCGAAGATCTAGTAACAGGTATAACTGTTCAGACCAGAGCAGCTTTAGAGCTTTCAACACAAATATAGTTAAATGAACCTTTTTTTTCTAACATATCCTAGATCTAGCCTGGTCTCTATGGTGAGGATTACCCGCTTAATCCTCTTAGTTATTTCACAGAGAGATCTTTATGTGTGAAACATTCTTAGATTTAAATTCCCATCCGACAGACTGGGTATTATCACAAGTCCGCTTTGGTTCATATTCCAAAATTGATTACAGCAAGGACCTACACATACATTTGATTGAATGAAAAACTCAAAGTACAATTTAACCTCTAACATTTGGATCTCACTTAATATCATAACTTTCCCATTAAATTTTAATATCAAGCTATTTTTGGAGACATGGAAACGGTTTGAGAGGATGTTTGACTAACGTGAAAAACTTCGGATGTTCTGTAATATGTTTAAGAATCAGAAATGTAGCCGAAAATGTTGAAAAATCGAGAATGTGTAAACGATATTGATATTCATAAACTAAACGGCCTTTTCTGCCATGTCTTACACCCATATCCAATGTTGTGTACATCTACATCGTACTGGCTGTGTGATAAAAGATTCTATTTTATTAATATTACCAAAATGAAGAAAATATTCCAATATACCATATGGATACCTGTATTGTTTTATCATATACTTGCTTTGGTATTTAATCATTTAGTGTAATCATACTATAGCTAGCATATAAAACAACAACAAAATAAACATGTAAACATAATTGTAATTCAAACTCGAATTCAATGAAACTAGGGTAAAATTTGAAAAATTCATACACAAAGACTCATGAAAAAGTAGGAGAATAAGACCGTCTGTTCCTGAAGGAGGAGCGTATAAATAATACTTCGTGTTGAGTAGTCCGGAAAAATAGTTTAAAAAAACGTCTCAGATTGCTTTAAAAAGATAAATTAAACCGATTAAGATAATTTTATAATTGACAGTTAAAAATTCTATTTCCACAATGTCTGCAAAAATGATCTGATAAATAATAAGTCTTACTTCGTTTTCATATAATAGCCGTAATATTATGTGTTGAAACTGAGTAAAGGTCTGCAGGTTAATAACTTATAAGAGAATTTTAAACGTACTGCTTATACTACTCACAATTTGATAGGGATCACACCTAATAATTAGCAAACTTTTCATTTAAAATAATACGTATTCCTTATGTTTGTTGGTTTATATCTGTACCGAGGTCTATGTGTATCGGGTGTTTATGTGGTCAGTCACCCGTAACGCCTACACTTCACGTGTACACGCACGAGCCTCCTACGTGCAGATTGTCATCAATACGTTTGTGGCAGAATATCTCGCTTTTTTGTTTTACATTTTGAATTTTAATGGTTTCAAAATGCCCCGACAGCAGGCTAGAAGACATCTAAGCACTTCAGATATGGACAGGGGCATTGGTATGATCAAGTCTGCTAGGTCACAAAGGGAGGTGGCCAATGACCTTGGTGTGTTCCAGAGTGTTGTGTCCCGTATGTGGAATCGTTACCAAAATTATAGAACTTTCTCCATAAGACATGGTGGGGGTCGGGAACGACTTACCTCGCAGCGTCAATACCGCTATCTTATTACAGCTCGACGTCAAAGGTTCATCAACGCTACGTCACTACGTAATGACTTCCAGAATGCCACCGGAACTCGTATCTCCACACAAACTGTGAGAAATAGACTACATGATGCTGGTTTAAGGTCGCGCAGACCTGCTGTGAGAATTCCTTTGACGTTACGAAATGTTCAAGCTAGACTTGCTTGGGTTCGTGATCATGTGAATTGGAGTCTCCATGACTGGTCCCCCGTACTTTTTACAGACGAATCTAGACTTTGCTTAGATTTCACTGGCCGACGTGCCAGGGTGTGGCGACTACCAAATGAGAGGTTCCATGCCGCTAACATTTCCCAACATGACCGATACGGTGGTGGATCTGTTATGGTTTGGGGTGGCATGTGTTCCTTAATGGCAGTTTGACTGCACAGAGGTACTGTGACGAAGTCCTGGACGTGTACGTCAGGCCTTATGCTGGTGCTATAGGTCCGGAATTCATTCTTATGGACAATAATGCGAGACCACACTGAGCTCGTGTGACTGAACAGTATCTGGAAAGGGAAACAATTGAGAGGATGGACTGGACAGCCCGATCTCCAGATCTCAATCCTATAGAACACGTGTGGGACATGCTTCAGAACGCTGTTTCGGCGAGAAACATCCAACCTAGAACGCTTCAGGAACTTCAAGCAGCTCTCGTCGCTGAATGGACAAGTATTCCCCAAAACCGGATTCGAGACTTGATCAGAGCGTAATTCATGCTCGAGGACGTTATACTCGATACTAACACTGTATTTTTCGCTGAACGACACTGTTTCGCAGGACTTAATTTTTCGCCCCTTTTGTTGTAATTTGCGATTTTCGGGGTATCTGTGTACAATGAGCATTGAAGCAAATTAATACTGTTATTCTTTGCTTGGTGTTGTTAAATCTTCATCTTAATATGCCGAAATACGTATAAATTGAACTATAGAATATATTCTTAAAATAGATACCGTTACACATTAAATAAAACAGTGATCCCTATCAAATTGTGAGTAGTATATATTCCAATGTCCAGGTCGACCCCGATGTTAGAATTTCCGATAAAAGGTCGATATATGCATACTAACACACACAGGGGAAATGGCGGAAAGAGTTTAATCTATAGATGGGAACCAGTTGTAATTTTAAAACTTCAGTTTAATTAAACTTTAACGTATGACCCGTACAGTGTACAGTACAGTAAAGAAGAGCAGGATGTTAGAATCATAAGTTGATACCCTAAATATTATGTAACCAATAACAATCAATCAAGGCATGAAATATACATGACATTTTGTGTTAGCTGAACTCTTTATTGCTTTCCATTGTATATATTACTGTTTGAATTACCCTTTCTCGCGTCGAATAATCAATACGCTGGTAAAACGTAACTAACTAACGCTACCGCAGCGTAGACAAAAGGTATCACCAAACATCGATACATCCAGCTAATTCAACTTACATTCTATCGACGAGGATATCAACATCAGGAAATAGATATTTTAAAAAAACCTAGTCAACCTGATAATTAATATCACTGTCTTTCTGTAGTAAAAACTTCATCAGTTACATAGTATGTTTTTCAATTATTCTAATTCAAGACAAGGTTTTATAGATAAAAATAAGTATGGTAATATACGGTGTTTGAATTTGTATTGCCTTAATGTCCAGACGGTGGTATAGTTTGG